TGGGGGAAGGAGATTGGTTTCGGTTATATGGAAACACAGAAAGGAACAAAGATGTATTTTTAAGCAATAAATGAATAATAAAAAATGAACATGTAGATAAATCTAACAATGTTGACAGTATAGAGCATCAGTGATAATGCTTGTTGTGGTTTATAATACAGAGAGAATTTAAATCCATCACAAAAATAGCCTAACAGACAGAAAGGTGAAGGCTGTGAGGAGTCTGGGTTCTCCAGGAAGCAACACAAGCAGTCACAACAGATTTGAGTAAGCCAAGGATGCTCCTTTTATCCTAGCAGGGGTAGGGAAACTTTTTTCTGCCAAGGGCCCTGTGGATACTTATAAAATTATCCACAGACCATACAAAAGTATCAACTTTTTTTTTAAAGTATCAGCTTTTAAAAATTAGCCTGCTATACATTTACTGAATTTCAATTCTCAACATGCAGTAGCCTTGGCAGGTCCAGACTGAATGAACTGGCCTCACACAGCCAGCCAGTGGGCCATTCCCTAGCCCTGCCTAAGGTAACCATTAAATGAAAAGAATATACACCATAACTCATAGGCTAACAGATGACAAAAAAAAAAAAAAGGAAGAAGAAGAAACAAGGAAGTCTTTATTTAAAGATTTACTTATTTGAGAGGCAGAGTTACAGGAAGGGGTAGGTAGAGACAGAGAGAGAGATCTTCCATCTGCTGGTTCACTCCCCAAATGGCCAAAACAGCTGTAACTGGGTTGATCCAAAGCCAGGAGCCAGTAGCTTCTTCTGGGTCTCCCATGCAGGCCCAGGGGCCAAGCAGTTGGACCATCTTCCACTGCTTTCCCAGGACATTAGCAGGAAGCTGGATCAGAAGTGGAGCAGCCAGGACTCAAACAAGCACTCATAGGGGATGCCGCTGCCACAGGCATAGGCTTAACCTACTATTCCACTGCACTGGCCCCAAGAAGTCTTCATCTAAAAGAAGGCAAAAAGGAAAGAAAAAAAATAAAAGAATACAGAAAAAGTACACAAACAGAAAACAGTAAAAGGGTACCTATCAGCAATTAGACACAGCACAATACTCCAATTAAATTAAAATCCAGAGACAATTTTTTAGAAGTAAATAATTTTTCAGAATTAAATAATCCCTCTATAAAGGGGTTATCTGAAATATTAGGATACAGATACGCTGAAAGTAGGATGAACAAAAATGTGCAATGTCATCCCTCATCAAAATAAAGTTGACTTATTAGACAAAGTAGATTTTTAAGGCAAAAACTCTACTAAAGATGGACATTTGGGGCCAGTGTGGTGACCTGGAGGGAAAGTCACCGCCTGCAGCACTAGTATCCCACATGGGCGCCCATTCAATTCCAGCTGCTCCACTTTCAATCTAGCTGCCTGCTGGTGCACCTGGGAAAGCAGCAGAGGATGCCCAAGTCCCTGGCCCCCTGCACCCACTTGGGAGACCAAATGAAGCTCATGGCTCCTGGCTTTGGTCTGGCCTACCCCTGGCAGTTGCAGCCATTTAGGGAATGAAACAGCAGATGGATGACTTTTCTTTTCTCTGCCTCTCTGTAATTCTGCCTTCCAAATAAATAGTAAATGTTGAAAAAAAAAAAAAAGAGGAACATTTCATAAACACAGAAGAGTCACTCCATCAGGAAGTTTCAATAATTCTAAATTTGTATATATGAAATAGCAGCAATACTTACCAGAAGTGAACTAAAATAAATGTTCACACAAAAACCTGCACTGGGCCGGCGCCGCAGCTCACTAGGCTAATCCTCCGCCTTGCGGCGCCAGCACACCGGGTTCTAGTCCCAGTTGGGGCGCCGGATTCTGTCCCGGTTGTCCCTCTTCCAGGCCAGCTCTCTGCTGTGGCCAGGGAGTGCAGTGGAGGATGGCCCAAGCACTTGGGCCCTGCACCCCATGGGAGACCAGGAGAAGCACCTGGCTCCTGCCATCGGATCAGCGCGGTACACCGGCCGCAGCGCGCCAGCCGCGGCGGCCATTGGAGGGTGAACCAACGGCAAAGGAAGACCTTTCTCTCTGTCTCTCTCTCTCACTGTCCACTCTGCCTGTCCAAAAAAAAAAAAAAAAAAAAAAAAAACCTGCACTGACTGTTCATAGAAGCCAAAAAAAATGAGCAACTCAACTGATGAAAGTATAAACAAAACGTGGTGTATCCCCACATTGGAATACTATTCAGCACAGAAATGAAAGTACCAATATATGCTACAATAGGAATGAACCAGAACATGATGCTACACAAAAATATCTAGACATAACAGGCCACACAACAAGTGATTCTGTTTAGAAGAAATGTGAAAATGCACAGAGCAGTGGTTGCCAGGGAGTGGGAGAGGCGGGAGCAGAGAGTGACTGCTAATGGGTGGGGGTTTTGGAGGGACAGCGGTGGTGATGAGGACGGTCTAGAATTAAAGCGTGGTGATGGCTGTACAGTCTGGTGAATATATGAAAAGCCCACTCAACTGTATGATTTAAAAGATGGTGAATTAATGCTGTATGAACTGTCTCTTTTTTTAAACTAGAGAATTTTTTTAAAAGTTGTTGGAAGTAAAAGGAGAAGGGCTGGTGCTGTGGCATAGCAGGTTAAAGCCCCAGTCTGCAATGCTGGCATCCCATATGGGTGCTGGTTCGAATCCCAGCTGCTCCACTTCCAATCCAGCTCTCTGTATGGCCTGGGAAAGCAGTAGAAGATATCCCAAGTGCTTGGGCCCCTGCACCCACATGGGAGACCAGGAAGAAGCTCCTGGCTCCTGGCTCAGGATTGGTGCAGCTCCAGCCATTGCGACCAACTGGGAGTGAACCATTGGATGGAAGAACTCTCTCTCTGCCTCTCTCTCTCTCTCTGCCTCTGTGTAACTCTTTCAAATAAATAAATAAATATTGAGAGAGAGAGAGAGACAGAGACAGAAGAACTAAAAGAAAAAAAATCTACAGTCATAGTTGAAGATTTTCTCATCTTGGTCCCTGATAGAACAACCTGACATCGGTAAGGTAACAGACTTGAACACGGCACTATGGACGCCTTGCTGATGCACACAGGCAGAAAGCAGCAACCGGAGCTGCAGAAGAAGCTGCCTTCGACTGGGCCCTTCCTGCGGACTCCAGGGAAACCAGGCCCTGTGTTATGCATGCATCACCTCCTGTGACCCCATTCTCTCTGGAGGCAAGAAATGGAGGTGCAGGAGGAACACAGAAGGTGAGTGCCTGGCCCAAAGTCCCCAGCTGCCTCCTTACCCCTCCCCTATGTACAATCTGCCAAGAGATTGGCCTAGACTTTTCCTCACATAGATATACCCCATGGGGCTGGAGTCACTGCAGTCTGATGCAGACTGGAATAAACACCAACAGTTAATGACCCACATCATCAACAAGAATACACATCACACACTTACCGCATACCAGACAGGGAGAAACTTTTTTTTAAAAAACAAAATAGCAACAATTTATTGAACTCTCCTCAAGCTGGTCATGCAAAGCTGCAAGCATTTGAAGCATTCAACACTTTTAATGCCACTGAATCCTCACAGCAACCTGCCAGTGAGCTCCTGCCTATGAGGAGGGAGACGCGAGGACAGCAAGGATGCTCGCTGTCCCCAGGCGGCAGGACTTGGATCTGAACCCATGTAACGTGAGAGCCCAAGCAGCCAGCTGCTGCCTCCACCCCCACACGATGACGCTGCGCCAGCCCCACGGGGGACATGTCTGCTTTTACACGGAGCCGCAAGCCGCTGGAGCATGCCCGTGTGTGGACCTCCCCGTCCCTGTAGCCCTGTAACCCAGGAGGGACGGGGGTCACCAGGATCCTATGCAGGAGGAAACCATGGCTTGGATGCAGAGAAACGTGTCTGATGAGCGTGACCCTGCACGCCCCAGCCCACGCTGAGACCACCCCAAGCGCTAAAGAAAGGGCAGCAAAGAACACAGCAAGGGCTCTCAGTAGAACTTTAAGTTGGAAAACAGCCATCTTGTCATCCAACAGGTACATTTTTATTCTCTATTATCATACTCACCAAACACAGGCTTCGCCCTGTGCATAATTTCACCGGGCACACTTGCCCTTGGACTTGGCTAAAGATAGACACCTAAAACAACCGCTTTCAGGGGGCTGATCCATGCACAAGACCCTTCTCCTCTACCTCAGAGAAAGTGAATGATTGGATCTGTCCCCAGGGTGGCAAGTGAGCTGCATCGTTAGCTTTCAAGTTCGCCAGGTCTGTTTTATACAGTAGTACAGAGGGTAAGGGACTCAGCCAGGTGACACAGCCGGGAGGCTGCATGGATCCAGGACAAGAACCCAGGCCTCCTGCGAGCCAGGCCAATCTTCTGCCCAGCGGCACATCAGGCCCAGGCCACCGGAGCCAGGCGGGGCTGCGAGACTGTGACGTGTGCAGTGACACCTGACAGGCCAAGGACTAGGGGGTAGCAGAATAAGCTGGGACTGCCACAACTCTCTTCCTGGAAGGACCCCCAGACTCACACAACCCACCCACCACACAGATGAGAAACAGACCCCCAGCCAAAGCAAGCACCTCGGCAGAGGCAGGTCGGGTCCAGACACAGGTCCAAACCAACCTTACCATTCAGCTGAGCTGGGAGAACAATCTGCAACAGTTGCTATGGAGATGGCAAAGCAATCGATCCACAGGATTTTTTTCCTTGAGCAGGTCTAGGTCATGCATGGAAAGTATAAAATGAAGTCTGTGTCCTCGAGGAATTTATCAACTAGAGAGAAAAATAAGCAGGTGCACAGGAAAGCAGAATTGACAACACAAAACATCAATATAGGGAGCAGCTGTATCAGGAATTTAAAAGAAGGCAAAGAACAGGCAGGGCTGGCTGTGGTGGACAGGTTCCTGAAGGAGGATTATAGAAAGTGGGGCTTTGAGGCATGAACAGGAGTCCAGTAGATTAAAAAAAAAAAATAGGTACTTCCAAAAGAATACTCCTAAAAGTTCTTGGAAAAACTGAAGGAAATGGTAAGTGTAATTTAGTGCAAAAATCAATTTAATTCCATGCAGTTTTTTCATCCTACACATTTTCCATGAACCTTTTGAAGACCCCTCATACACACAGATTTTGAACACTTTTGCACCAAAACAAACTTATTTTTTAATTTGCTTTCTCCAAGCTTTTTAAGGTACCCTCGTAAGTCGGTTCAAGAGTTTCAACTTCAGAGGACAAACCTGCAGAGGAAGGCCAAGTCCTGGGGGCCGCAGGGCCTTCACATCCCAGGCCGGGGCTTTTGACCTTGGGCCCGCGGGGCACTGGGTCTTCCAGCCAGCCTCTGAGCTCATCACAGAACCCCACGAGGGTCGATCACATTGATTCCAGAGCAGCATTAGTGTTAGAGACCACACATGTCAACCAGCGTCTGGAGCATGGAACCACGACCACAGCGTGCGTGCCGTGGACCAAGGAAGGCCGGCCAAACAGGCCCGGTCTCCTCCAGCGCTCCCCTCGGCAGCTCACCGCCCTCCGTCTCCGTCCTCCGTCTCTGCCTTCTGTGGCTCGCGGCTGGCGGCTGACAAGCACAGGTGCCGCTGTTCTTACACGAAGTAGGGGGCAGAAAAGCTCCAGGATGCAGGAAGTTCTCAGTGCGCTCATGTTCTCCAGACTGGAAGGAGGCAGTCTCAAACGGAGGAGGTCAGAGGCCACAGCAGAAAAGCAGTGTCCTCTTTAAGAGGCTCAGTTTCCCAGCCTTCCACGGTGGGGCCGGGGATGGGCTTGCCACGGAGACCAAGCCCTATACACGCCACTGGCCCAGTCTGGTCACCTCTGGACCTCCGAGCAGTGAAAGGGCTGGGAGACCGGCCCTCCCATCCATGCCCACGGTCCTCCGTGGCATAGAGTAGCTCGGACTGGGGCCAGCCAGCAGCTCCTCGAGAGGCCAAAGCCACGCCGACAGGGCCCCAGCTGCACCCCTCCTAGCTTGGGGCTCACCATCGGCCATCCCAGGTGCCAGAGGTCTCCCCCACTTCTCAGTCTTGGAGGAAAATGAGGCTCTTCATCCCGAGGTCACCTGGCCAGGAATGGGCAGCAGCCGGCGCCCAGGAGGTGGGCTTCTATGAGCTGGCAGGGACAGGGAACCTTTGGAGAGTCCAGGTGCCGTGTCCCCGCGGCTTGGGGGAGCTGGGAGGTCACCAGAAGCCGGGTGTAGTAGCCACCGAACACCGCCAGCAGCTGCTGGGCCATTTCCTAGGAGAGGCAGGGAGTAGAGTGAGGGCCATGGGGACGCACCTCCAGGGCAGGGGCACTGGTGCTCACAGGGAAGAACCAGAACCAGGCCGGGCCGGGCCAGGGCAGTCCAGAACCCCAGCTCTGCGGCTCCCTGGCGCTGGGGGGCCCACAGACTCAGCGTCCCCACCACCACGGTGGGTGGGTAACTGCTGACTGGCAGTGCACAGCGAGACGCAATCCCAAAGCACCAAAGAAGCCACCAACTGCACCCGCACACATCTGCGCGTTGCAGTGTGCTCAGTCTGGAAGGTACATGTGGTCAAGGTGAAGCAAACCCCGCTTCAAGATGAGGGGAGCATGTTGTGGCTCAGAGGGTAAAGCCCCGGGTCCGCAGTGCCAGCATCCCATACGGGCACTGGTTCACACACCAGCTGTTTCACTTCCAATCCAGCTCCTTGCTAATGCACCTGGGAAAGCAGTGGAAGATGGCCCAAGTGCTTGGGCCCCTGCATGCATGTGGGAGACCAGGGAGAAGCTCCTGGCTCCTGGATTCAGATCAGCTCAGCTCTATCCATTGCGGCCATTTGGGGAGTGAACCAGCAGATAGAAGATTGCTCTCGTTCTCTCGCTCGCTCGCTCTCTCTCTGTTTCTACCTCTCTGTAACTCTTTCAAATAAATAAAACTAAATCTTTAAAAAAAAAAATATGTGGAGGGAAGCGGTCAGCCTTGTGGTGTAACAGGTTAAGCCACCACCTGCAAAGCTGGCATCCCATATGGTTGCTCATTGGAGTCCCGGCTGCTCCACTTCCAAGCCAGCTCCCTGCTGATGGCCTGGGAAGGCAGCAGAGGAGGGCCCAACTGTTTGGGCCCCTGACACCCTTGTGGGAGACCTGGAAAGAAGCTCCTGGCTCCTGGCTTCAGCCTGACCCAGCCTCAGCCACTGAGGCCACTTGAGGAGTGAAACAGCAGATGGAAGATCTCTCTCTCTCTCTCTCTCTCTCTGTCTCTGACTTTCAAATAAATAAATATTTTTTTAAAAAAACTGAATTTAACACAAAAAGATACTGTATGATTTGTCACTAATTGGTGGCACCAGGGTGGTAAATTCATAGACACAAAGCAGAATGGTGGCTGCGAGGGTGGAGGGGGGAGGGTAAGGGAAGCTTGCATTGGATGGGCATGGAGCCACCGTGGGGAGATGAAAACATCCCAGAGACAGATGGGGGTGCCAGGTCACACGTGTGCATGCACTGATGCCACGGAACCACGGGCTTAAGAGTGGCCATGACGGTAACTTTAGTTCTTGATTCATTTTTAACTTATTAGAAAAGTGGAGCAACAGAGAGAGAAAGAGAGACAGCGACACAGAGCAATCTTCCAACAGTGGTTCATGTCCCAAATGCTCACAACAGCCAGGGCAGGGCAGAGCCAAAGCCAGGAGGCCAGAACTCAATGGAGGCCTCCCACGAGCCAGGGCAGGGCAGAGCCAAAGCCAGGAGGCCAGAACTCAATGGAGGCCTCCCACGTGGGTGGCAGGGACCCACCTGCACCACTGCATCGAATACCCAACCCAAGATGGTAAATTCTAAATGTATATTTTACCACAATGGAAAAAGTTTAAAGGTAAACTTTGAAAAATAATTTTAAGAATCAGAAGGAACGCGCGCTCTGAGCACAGCTGTGTGTAAAGTTCCGCTCGGTTACCCAGAAGCTGGGATTACAGGGAAATGCTGGAGCGCGTTCACAACCTGCTGTCCACTCTGTAACAAACTCCGCTCTAAGTTCCGGCCGGCCGTCTCCATCTACAGAGTCAGTCAGCAAGAACAGGCTTTCGGGGACAGCGCTGTGGCTTAAACTACCACCTACAGCGCCAGCATCCCACATGAGCAAGGGTTCGAGCCCCCGCAGCTCTCATTCCGACCCAGCACCCTGCTAATGCCCCTGGCTTCAGCCTGGCCCAGCCCCAGCCACTGTGGCCATTTGCAGAGTGACCCGGCGAACAGAAGACACCTTGTGTGCGCATGCGCTCTCTCGTGTTCTCTCTCTAACTCATTCTTGCTCTCCTTCTGTCTCTTATTGCCATTCTCCCTTCAGATAAATAGTCTGAATGAAAAGGAAAAAATTGCATAATCTTCAATCAGCCGGGCTGGCTTCCGTCCTTGGCCGTGGCACACTCTGCCTCGCTCTGTGATGCTGGACAGGTCAGATGCCGTCTGGGGACCTTATTTCACCCATCCAAGCAGAAAGAAGATAACGCAGACCTCGGACGGTGAGTGCGAGAACCGCACGCATGACAAAGGCGCTGGAAAAGCCAAGCGGCCATCCTCACGCTCTCTGCAGGCTCCTAGTGAAAGGGGAGGCGCTGGCCATGCTGAGACTCAGGCACTGGCTTTACTTCCTCTCCGAAATTACCAGGGCAGCTACTTTAAAAACCTGTGCACACACACTTGCTACTCGTGACAGGAAATCGTATTGTTATCGGTCTGAGTGATTTTGAAAAAAATAATTTGAAAGATTTGTATTTAACGGGCTATTGCACATAAACCCAGCCACGCATGCCAGCATCAAACATGTGATCTTATCCATCTTTTCGGGTCTTTTTTAAAAAGCCAGCGGGATGCCGGTGAAGTTTAACACATTTATCCTCTTCCCTTTAAACAGTGCAAACTGCACGTCTCCCGCTCCCCACCAGAACGAAAGAGAAAGTCTGAGCTACTATGGATCTTGAGTCCCCAAAGCTCCTGGCTGAGCTGGAGAGCAGGAGCTCTGTGGAAGTTCCCGCTGTCACCCAAGGCTGCCCCTTGTGGCTTTTCTCCCTGCCAGCGGGGCGCCCTCATGGCGAGAAGCAAGCTCAAGCTGAAAACCAGACTTCCGGATTGCTGGGCTCCCGACGCTTAGCCTTATCCAACAGAGAGCGGGACCCAGCGGAAGTCTACAGCTGGAGGGATAACCAGTCAACGGGGCTGCACACAAATTCTACCACCCAGCTGTGACTGAAGTAGCTGGATAGATGGATGCTGGGACGGATAAACGGATAACTGAGTGACCAGCTGATAAAGACCCAAATATTCATCAGTATGTTCATGGTTAGGAAAGCTACCATCCACCAAAGCACTTTTTATCTATCCAGTGCAACTATCAAAAATACCATCTGGAGTGGACATTTGGCCTAGTAGTTTAAAAGATGCCCATCCGAGTCTCCTATCATAATGCCTGGGTTCAAATCCCGACACTGCTCCCAATTCTAGCTTCCTGCTAATGCACACCCTGGAGGCAGCTGGTGATGGCTCAAGGAGTTGAGTCCCCGCCACCCATGTGGGAGACCTGGACTGAGTCCCTGGCTCCTGACATGAGCCTGGTCCTGTCCTGACTGTTGCAGACATCTGAGGACCAAATTAACGGATGAGAGTTTGGTCTTCCTCAATGTCTCTGTCTCTGTCTCTCCACTCCAAATAAATAAGACAATTTTTAAATATTTTACATAATATCCAAGATATTAAAAAGAACAACCAAAAAATCCTATAAATCAACTTTAAAGGTGCCGGGGTGAAGAGAAACAGACTGGAAAGTGGGGTTTGGCTAGAAGATGGGTATGGTTCAGAGAAGCCACGACTCCAAGAAGCCGGAGCCGTGCAGACTCGCCCCGCGAGGGGGGACGCCCCGCCGCAGCGCCCTCACCTCCGGCTCAGCCTCAGGAACCAGCTGGTGCAGCTCGGTCTGCATGAGCGCCCTCTCTGGAGGGCGAGCAGTGCTGGGCAGGAGGGGTGCAGCCTCCAGGTCCGCCGGCCCCTCCACCACCGACGCCTCTGGGCTCACCCCGGTCTCCATGACGACGCATAACTGGCTCAGTCTGCTTCTCAGCAAAGACTGCAAAGGAAACAAGGGGGTTGGGGGGCTCAGGTGTGTCCTAAACCTGGGTGGGGTCTGAGGGGCTGTCATTCCGTCCTCCTGCGGGCCCAGCAGAGGACGGAGCCACGGACAGACTCAGAGGCTGACCTCAGAAGAACGGAGGAGCTGAGCCATAGTGGTGAGCGCACATCATTCCCCAGCAGAGAACGGGCCTCCTAAAGTACTGCTCCATCCATGGTTTCATTTGTTCTCCAAGGCAGCCTGGGATGTGGGCATCTCTAACCGCACATATGTGGTTACAGTATATGGGGTGAGACCCCGATGCCGGCTGCAAGACTGGCTGCAGCACTTCCAGGACCCAGGAGAGGCTGATCCTGGGGCAGGAGCCCAGCCTTGGAGCCACAGGCCTGGCCTCCAGGTGGGCATCAGCACCAGCTCCGGGACCACAGGCGGGCAGCAGGGCTTGCCAGAGCCTGTTTCCCCCTCTACTATCAGAACACGATCTCCCTGGACTTCGGGGACAAGGCCACTTTGAACCAGGGACAGCCGTCTAAACCTGTGACACTTAGAGACCCACCAGGATTTACTGTGAATGTTATTGTAGGGCACCTTTTGTCCTCCAAGGGCCATTTGGATATTTACAACAACATCCGCGGGTCACACAAAGTTCTCAACTTAAAAATCCGCCTGCTACAGATTTGCTGGAATTTGAGTGCCGCCTGCGGCTGCCTTGGCAAAACCAAACCACATGATTTCATGGGCCTTGTGCAGCCCTCGGACTGGACGGTCGCCACCCATTATAAAGAAATAAACACCCACTATTGGAGATGTGCAAGGTGTGATTAATTAAAAAGGAGCAGACAAACAGCCATGATTCCCAAACAAAGCATCCACAGGGTCCATGCACGCCTTCTTCCTCCCAGGTGACTCTGGGGACTTTCCTCCAAGGCTGAGGGGAGGCCACCTGCACAGCACGGCCCTCTGCTTTTGTTGGGGCTTCGCTTCTGTTTCACTCCAGATGCTTACCTCTTGGCTGGTCTTCATTTCTCGCACGTGGTCAGACAAAAACTGGGTGCAGTCCTCCAGGTCGAAGTAGACAAACCAGAGCTGTGGGGAGAGGCTACTGTGACCGCTGCAGCTCGGCCCACCACCCGCCTCCTGCAGCTCACCCAACGGAGGGCCGCCCGGTTTACCCCGGGGTTGGCAGACACCTGCTGCTCTGCTCTCTCCCAGAGCCTCTCGTCACAACCACGTGGCCCCGGGAGGACGGCTAGGAACAGGGCTTGCCGGCAAACTTCAGACACGTCCAGCCCGGTTCCGGCCGGCTGCGGCCCCACCTCCCACAGGTCACTAAGCACAGCGGCCAGACTCCAAACCCTCCCAACACCACACATCCAGCCACGGCCACCACCTCTGTTGTCGGTGGTGGGACACCCTTCTGTCAGGAACCAGAACTTGCAAAGAGGTAAATCTCCATGCCCTGGCCAGGTCTCAGGTGAACAGCTTGGGGGAAAAGGCTAAGTCTTTCCCCCTCTCCTACCTCACCTTCTGCTTGAACCTCAATAGTTCCCAGAAGGTCAAGTTCAACTTAACCAGGCTGAACTCCTCCACGTTCACTCATCACATGACATTTGTCAGGGCCACACCTCCCACACATCATAACCAGTGTTCTGCACAAAACTGGTGACCCTTGTCTCACACCTCCACCCACAGACCCCTTCCCTCCTGCCAGTCAGATGCAGGGGACCAAGGTCACATCCCTCTTTGCCTACCCATCTTGCCACTGTCTCACCCCCAAGGGAGTGTTTTTCAGTGGGCTTTTAAAAAAATATTTATTTTATTTATTCAGCTGAAAGGCAGAGTGACAGAGAGAGGAGAGAAACAGAGACAGAGACAGATCTGCCAACTGCTGGTTCACTCCCCCAAATGGCTGCAACAGCCAAGTCTGGACCAGGCTACAGCCTGGAGTCAGGAGCTCCATCCAGGTCTCCCACATGGGTGGCAGGGGCCCAAGGACTCGGGCCATCACCGACACACCGCTTTCTCAGGTTTGCTAGCAGGAAGCTGCATCCGAAGTGGGGCAGCTGGGATTCAAACCCGCACTCCATCCAATACAGGATGTCAGCCTCGCAAGCAGTAGCTGAATCCACTGCACCACAGTTGGCGGTCCTGATTTTTTAAAAGGCTTTTACTATGAAAATTTCCAAACATGAACAGAAGAAGATGGCACCAAGCCATTGTCCTCCTTCAGCCATTAATCACTGCGGCCACACCGGTGCCCTCTCTACCCTCACGCATTGCGCATCCCCAACACCCCCCACCCACTACTGCGCACCCTAGTAAATTTGAAGGACATCCTAGACATCGTGGCACCTCGTCCCAAAATAGCGTCTTGAACATGAAAGAACTCAAGCTGTCTGAAAAGATGAGGCCATCCATTAGTCACCCATCTATCCATGTATTCAGCTAACGTCCAAGCCAATTGCCAAAGCTGACTCAGCGGTGAGTAAGGTAAACGAGGCTACAGAGGACCCCAGGTGCCAGGAGCTCCCAGCCTGGGAAATCACACCGGAACTGCTTCACCCCCACACTGGACAAGACGGCCTCACGCCCCACGCTGTCTCAGGTGTGATCAGTCCCCACAAAGACAGGGGTCTGGGGTGTTCTCTGCTGCAGCCCCAGCAGCCAGAACACAGCAGGCTCTCAGCAAACACTCAGAAGATGTGCAAGGCACATGGACATGGTGCTTCTTCCAGCTTCCCTGTGAACACCACGACCACCCCCGACAGTGCATGGGCTGTGACTGGTGACATCACAGACCAGGTGCCCAGCCCAGGAGACTCTGCAAGCAGGTGGGCGGTGGGCAGAGCCCAGCCAGGCTCAGGTGACTGAGGGCTTATTCAGCCCCAGCTGTGTCCCCACCCCTGAGTGACCTTGTCCTGGGCACTTTAAGATCTCCCCGCTGCCTTTAGGACAAAGACAATGATGAAGCCAGGCAGACAAAGCCTGCAGGACCTGAGCCTCCCTCTCTAGCCTCATCTCTCTCTCTCTCTCTCTCTCTGTGGGGCCACTCCTTGGGGCCAGGGAGGCTGCTCTAACAGTATGCCTGGGAGCTCCGGCAGGACAGGGACCTTGTAGGGTCCCTGAGCATCTTCACTGGCCACAGGGCTTAGTGCAGAGCAGGAGTAGGTACGAGCTGTTCACGGCCATCTCATCAGCAGACTCCCAGACACACAGTGCAGGCTGGGTGAGCGTGAAGCCACCTCTCGCAGTTAGCCCAGCCCCGAGGTGGGCCACGCGGGGGCGGTCACTCCAACACGCGGTACCTGGATCACACTCTGGCATCCTTCCACCGTGTCCGTCACCCCCAGCAGCACCCGGTGTCTCAGCAGGGCTCCATTGGCAGCCGCCAGCCTCAAGTCAGTGTTGGTGTTGGCCTGTAAGACAAGCATCAGCCCCTTAGCCGGAACTCCAGGCTGCCAGGGAGCTGCTTGGCCCTGGGCAATGGTCACACACCACCCCACCCCCTAGACACCATGGGACAATCCTCACCCTTGGGTCTCTTTCCTTCCCTGTGAACCCCAGGGATTGTGGGGTTGTCAGGATAGTAAACTCCAGTGTTAGGCATCCCTGGCTGTGTGGCCCTCAATGAGGTATGTCCCATCCAGCCTTGTTTCCAAATACAAAGTGTGTCCTGGTTTCCCAGGAACGTGGTGACAGCTAGCTGAGACTGCATAGGAAGCACTTCACCTTGGTCCTTGGTCATGGCCGGGGTGCACAGGGAGCTGTGAGAGGCGGTGGGAACAGACGTTGCACCTGCTTGGTCTATGCAGCACACAGCGTGGTGCCTGGCCCTCACACGAGACTCTCAGAATCAGAGTAAACAAGGCCCAGAGGGGCTGAGCTATAACCCAGCCTAGGCTGCACAGCTAGCAAATGACAGAGGTATCCTGCCCACTTGGGAGGTTGCGTCAGGCACAGACATCAGGCCTCACGCACAGAGTAACTGCTCCTTAAATGGGGGTCGTTATCAGGACGGAGCAGATCCTGCAGGGTCTCCTGGACGAACAAACAGCAACCGTGGTGCTGTCACTGTGCCCCCGGGGCCTCCATGCTGCACCTGTGAGCACAGGCCCGGTGGTGTTCGTCTCCACTACCTGCGCCCAGCACGTTACCTGGTACTCACAGGGCTTCATAAATCCCAGCTGAATAAAAGAAGGGGTGGGCGGGTTGAGGGGGAGAGGGGAAGCAGAAGAGCAAAGCAGGCATTCCCTGAACTGCATGAGCGACGCCTGCGTCGTTGAGGCACCTGCCACGGGCCGGATTTTTTTGCTTGCTTCTGCTAAATCAGATCGCGCTGTTCTCTCCCCTCCCCGAGAAAAGCTCCTTGTGGCAGGAGCAGCCAGCTCAATTTTATTTTTTTATAGCCAAGCACAGGGGCCATGAAAGCATCAACAGAGCCCAGGGGTAGCATTAGTTTTGTCATCTTTTCAGAATGATTAAGCCATAAAATTCCTATTTGTCCCTGTGAACGTAGGCACTAAATGGAACTCATTCCCCACCACCCTGCCCTTCCCCTTGTGAGCGAGGCAAGGGGGCGTCTTTGCTCCGGGATCTCAGAGCTCAGCTCTGTGCAGGGGCTGCAGGCTGAGGGGACAGGAACTTTCCAAGGAGCCTGAAACACAGCGTCAGTGTGGCACGCAGCACAGTGGTCCCCTGAAGATGTGTGCGCCCCATTCCCCAGAACCTGTGACTCTACCGCTAGTGGCTAAGGGGAGCTGAGGTGCTGGGCAGAACGTGTGCTGCTAACCGTCTGTCTTTCAGGCTCGGAGACTACACTTCATTATCCGTGTGGCCCAATGCAAGCCCCACGCCACGCCCCAACAGTGGAAGAGGGAGGCCCAGGACTCTGAGAAGGAGACTCGGGCTGTCAGACGGAGGAAGGGGCTGTGAGCCAAGGAACGCACGGGGCCCCTGGGAGCGGGAAACATAAGGAAACTGCTGCCTTCAGAAGGCATGCAGTCCGGCCTTCCTGGTTCCAGCCCACTGAGACCACGCCCACTTCTGCAGAGCAGGAACGTGGGCTGCCACCAGACATCCCGCTTCTGCCATGTGTTAGAGCAGCAGCATCGGACAGCCCCCGAGGGAGGGGACAATCTGAGCATCCTGGCCTTGAACTCCTCTCTGCCGTTATCAGCAGCCTGGCCTTGGGCTACTCCTCGGGCCTTTCTCGGAGCCTCTGCTTCTTCCTCCTCTGTAAAATGAGCGTAGCAGCCTCTATGCAGACAGGTGTGGGGGAGGGGGGAGGTTAATGAGTTAGTGTGCAAAGCACAGGAGGGTCTGCAACACAGGACGTGCTCAGAACGTAGCACAATGCACACACGGAGGAAACAGAACACAGTGAGTGTCCTATGCATCAGCAGGGGCCGCGGATGGAGCAGCCCTCAGCCACAATGCTGGGGAGCAGAGCTGCCCCACACTTCAGATAGCGACTTGGCGATACCTGCAGCAGCAGGACCTAAACACACAAAACTCACTCACACTTCACGTGCACCTTGCACATATAGCCTGGAGGTGACTTTATACGCTACTTCAGTGCCTCCGCATTTGACTGAGACCGGTCACGCGAGGTCAAGTGTGGAATTTTCCACTCGTAGTGGCACGTCAGTGCTTTCTGAAGTTTTGGATCTTGGAGCGCTTCAGATTTGCAGATTAGGGATGCTCAGCCTGCACCCATCTTTCCTCTGAAGATGACCAGGGATCAAGAGGACTTGAGTTGGCACCCTGGCTCTGCCACTTACAGCAAGATTCAGAATAAGTTACCTAATCTCTCCGACCACTCACGCTGCCCCAAAGGGTACTGCTGGGATTAAATGAGGCACGGCTACCGCTAAGGGACCATGTCAGTGTCTGCCCAACACAGGAGGGAACAGTAAATCGCCACTCTCCAACCTTCCTCTGCACACGTCCAGGGCACGTCACTGGTGAACTCCCAGGGACACGGGGGCATGAAATGGTTCAGTTAACTAAAGGACCGCGAGGATACTGGTCATCGATGCCCTCCTCCCAGGCTTGCTCGCTCGCTTTCCACACAGCTTGTTCCCAGAAAAGCAATCCACAAGGATTAGGTAGAAAACAGAGAACATAGTCACGCATGTGATTGGATTTCTTTTCGGAGCTGGGCATATGGGCTGGTGTGCACGCTGCTGCTTGGAGACATGCTTCGAGGTAGGTAAGAGAGAAGATGCTGACTCAGGAGTCTCATGGCCCCGCTGCCCTGCTGCAGGAGGCGTCTCACCTTCCTCTGGTGTCTCTCGAAGACAAGCATGAGGGTCAGGGTCAGGCTGACCGCGGCCAGGGTCACGAGCAGCACGCCCGCCCAGTGGCTGCCCAGGGCAAACATCTGGCTGGTGGAGTAGATATTGGCCCACACCACCACGTAGAAAACCTGCCGGGAGCCGGGAAGAGAGCGTGGTCAGGTACCTTGGTCCTCAAACAAAGGAGCTCCGCTCGAAGGAACACGCTGGGGACACTCCTGCCACTAGGAGGCTGATGCAGGTGCCCGGGTCTGTGGGGTGAGCTCCTGCTCCTTGTTTATAAGGAAAGGGGCTGGCAGCCACTCCTAACTGCAAGCCACCCTGACTGCAAGTAAGCCCAGAAATGGCAGGAGGCCCTGGAGTGAGATAAATGTTAGTCCAAAGCCTGCAGGGATCCTTCAATTGCCGTGGGGCCTAAGAAAAGTCAGAACACCTCTCTGCGCCTCAGTTTCCACATCTGTACAATGGGGGTAAGATCCCTACTTCACAGGGTTGTTCCAGAGTTAATAAGGTAATGGATTATCGCCCAGCACTCATTAGGAGATCAAATGCTGGTTCCCCACCCTTCCCCTTCTCCTTAGACGTGGCACATGGGAGGCAGGTGCGCTGTCTGACCACTGACACACAGAAAGCAGCAGCAAATCATCGTGGCTGAGAGCACACGTGCTGAACAAGACTGCCTGGGTTCTAGCACTGCCTGTGCCATACGTGTGTTCATGTATGTATGCTTACATGTATGTACAAAATACACACACTCATCAGATTGGAGCTAAAATGGACTCCTCTGTTGATGAACAGGAGGAGAAACCAAGTCCCAGAGAGGACAAAAGTCTTGGCCAAGGTCACAGTGCAGGTGGGTCTGCAAATTCCCAGCCCGAGCCGTGCTCAGAGTAAACCCTTACTTCCTGCGGGGACCGGGTCAGCACTCCCTCCTGAGAACTCTTTAGACTAAAGCCAGGTCCACGTGGCACAGCTGGGTCACCAGGCCCCAGCCCCAATCTGCTCTAGGACACACCACTGAATGTCCTAGAGGTGCCCCAGGAGCCAGGCGGGGCCGGGCAGGGTCACTGTGCGGCCCACACCCCCTTACCACAGCAAAGGCCAGCCGCATGGGCCTCGAGTTGTAGATGATGTATCTTCGCACTTGGGGCTCCAAGAGGGCGCTCTCCGCCAAGCTCCTGTACTGGTCAGCCGGCACCTGCTCAGGCAGCCACAGGAAAGACAGCAGTCAGCCCCAGGACCATCACACCGGCCTCCTTCCTGCCAGCAAGCCCATGGCTCCCAGTTCAAATGACCGTCCCATTCCAGGTCACCCCAGAGGGCAGGGGGAGCTTGGAACACCAGGTGGAGATGACAGGGTGCAGCTCTCAGGTCAGGCAGGCCTGGCACCCATGGGGAGCCGAGACAGCTGGAGATCCAGCAGGGTGTTCTGCAGAGGGACTGCCATGCCCACAACTCCCAGGCCTCGAGGCAAACACAGAGCAGCCCAACCACTAAGGCACAGGCCCTGGCTCAGACAGCCCTGGGCCCGCACCCTAGCCCTCCCAGAAACGTGCTGTGTGACCTGAAGCAAGGCATACCACTTCTCTGAGCTTCCGTTGCCTCCTCTGTAAAACAAGGAGGACCCGCCTGGTAGGGCTGAGGTGCACATTAAACAGGATAATACATCAACGGGGCTTGGCCCGGGGCCAGCCCCCTGGGGCTCCCATCACTACTGCACTGCCACCACCTGTTGACACAAACCAAATACCTACTAACAAAGCTGTCCCCACACTGACAGCTGCACCCCAGGGCTTCTCAGACCTAGGTTCTGAATACCTGCGTCCTCCTGCCCAAAGAAAACTGTGGACACAAAGGCCCTGTGAGGGTAGACCCAGGAAAACAGAATCTAATCATCAAACATTGTATTGAGGAACACGCATGGCAGAAAAATATATGAACTGTGCACCAGTTAGAAAAGCCAGTTTGGGGGCCAGCACTGTGGTGTAGCAGGTAAAGCCACTGCCTGCAGTGCCAGCATCCTATATAGGCACCGGTTCGAGTCCCAGCTGCTCCACTTCCAATCCAGATCTCTGCTATGGCCTGGCAAAGCAGCAGAATGGCCCAAGTCCTTGGGCCCCTGCACCTACATGGGAGACCCGGAAGAAGCTCCTGGCTCCTGGCTTCGGATCCGCGCAGCTCCAGCCATTGTGGCCATTTGAGGAGTGAACCAGCGGATGGAAGACCTCTCTCTCTCTTTCTCTCTGAGTGTAACACTGACTTTCAAATAAATAAATAAAACTTGAAGAAGAAAGAAGAAAGGATTTTCAGTTGTTAGATCTCTTTTCATCAACCTGCTATCAAGAATGCTCTACATGCAAGTTTCATACCTATGCAAAAACAAACCCAAATTAAAAGTATTTAAATTCTAATGGAGAGTGCACAACAAATACACATGAAACCAAAACAAAAGAGAGCCGACACTGTGGCATACCAGGTAAAGCTGCCGCTTGCCATGCTGGCATCCGTATGGGCACCAGTTCATGTCCTGGCTGCACCACTTCTAATCCAGCTCCCTGCTAATGGCCTGGGAAAAGCAGCAGAAGATGGGCCAAGTGCTTGGGCCCATGCTACCCTCTTGGGAGACCTGAAAGAAGATCATGGGTCCTAGCTTTGGCCTAACTCAGCTCCAGCTATTGAGGCCATCTGGGGAATGAACCAGCAGACGGAAAATTTCTCTCTCTCTCTCTCTCTAACTCTGGCTTTCAAATAAGTAAATAAATGTTTTTTAAACCCCCCCCCCAAAAAAAAAAAGAAAGAAGAAGGGAGAGGAGGAAAAAGGGGGAGGTGGAGGAGGGGGAAGGAGGGGGAAAAGGAGGAGAGGGAGGAGGAGGAAGAAGAGGAAGAGGAAGAAGAGCCAGTCTGAAGGCAATCATTTAAGAAAGGCATGCTAAGGGCCAGCACTGTGGTGCAGGGAGTTCAGCTGCTTGGCCAGCACCGATATCAGAGCCCCAGTTCAAGTCTTGGCTGCTCTGCTTCCAATCCGGCTCCCTGCTAATGCACCTGGGAAAGCAGCGGAAGATGGCCCAAGGACTTGGGCCCCTGCACCCACGTGGGAGACCCAGATGGAGTCATTGGCTCAGTTTCAGCCTGACCCGGCCCCGTTGTTGCAGCCATTTAGGGAGTGAACCAACAGCTAGAAAGTGCCCCCCCTTTCTCTCCCTCCCTCCCTCCCTCTCTCTCTCTCTCTCTTTCAAATAAATAAATAAAAAGAAAAGCTGTCTTTCTGTGCAAAGACTGAGGAAAAGGGATGGATCAACCCACCGGTGCTGATGCGGAATCAGCTCCGCTGATGTGGGAAGTCTGCCCTTAGAGGTGGCAAAGTGTTGATCTAAACAGCGCTGCGACTCAGTTTTAAAGGCATACCTTCTGAAACCCTCAGGGTGACATTAGCAACATGTCTCCCCCACCCTTCATTACCACCCTCGGCTAGCACGGGGATGACCTAAAGGTGTCAGGGGCTTGGGGAAGAGAGAGAGTAACCCACACCCGTGTGCTTCACAGCTTCCATAGCTAGCTACCCTGTTGTCGAGCAGAACAAGTGCTCAGGCACGATTCCCTTTAATCCTAAGAACCCCTACATAAAGGCATTAACATTGTCCTCACTTACGGATGACGACGCTGAAGCTCGGAGAGGTCCTATCACCTGCCTAAGGTCACACGCAGAGCACAGCACAGCTGGATCGGCACCCAGACCTACGGCTGTGCAAAATCTGGGCCCGAATCGCCGGCCCATCACCTAATGAACTCACGTGCACTTTCCCTTGCACACGCGATTCCCTCTCCTAAAATGCTGTTCACGGTGTTCAGCAAGTTGGTTTCTCTCTCCAGTTGGCTTATTGGCACTGTTTCCTGCAGACTTGCTACAGAAGAGCATCTTTTTTTTTTTTTTTTTCAAGATTTACTATTTACTCATTTAAAAGTTAGAGTGAGAGACTTTCCCTCTGTTTCCCTAAATGGCTGCAACAGCTGGGGCTGGGCCAGGGTGACACTGGGAGCCAAAGATTCCAACTGGGTCTCCCATGTGGGTGCAGGGGCCCAAGCACTTGGGCCATCCTCCGCTGCTTTCCCAGGTGCATTAACAGGGAGCTAGATTGGAAGCGGAACAGCCAGGACTTGAACTGGCACTCTAATGTGGATGCCAGCCAAGCACCTCCTCTCCACCTAGCACACCCAGATTCAGCTTTCAAAACTGCCACGCACTGCCCCTTGCAGGCAAGCTGACTGTTTTCCTCTGGGAAGGTCTTCAGTGCCTGGGGCATTTATGTCATGTTGTCCTGATTTAGCCAATGCATGTCCATCTCCCCACTGGGCTTGCTGAACACTGTGTCCTGTTCACCTACAATGTTGGGCCAGCCTGGTACAGGGCAGGTACCCAAAACACACATGTGTCAGGTGACCTAACTGGGAACAGAGGCCAGTTGTAATACACCTTCCTGATATACCACAGCTAGAACAGAGTGTTTGATAAACATTTTGCGAATAACTAGACAAATGGATACATGACTGAATGGGTGGCTACCTGGGTGGATGACAGGTGAGTGGATGGGTAGACAGACGGGTGGTTGGATGAGAGGATGGATGGATGGACAGACAAATGGACAGATGGAAAGATGTGTGGATGGAAAGAAGCAAAAATGGTAGTGTCTCGGTAAGATCCGCACTCACCTGAATGCCCCAGGCCTGCAGTTGGTCTTCTGCCGTCCCCAGATCGAAGGAGATGGGTGCACAGGTGTTGTCGACCCGGAGAACCGTGAGCACCTGGCCATTGCGGAGTTCTGAAAGCACACCAAGGGGAGCCCAGGGCCTGAGGGCATCACCTCCCTGGCTGGGAGAACCTCGTGACGAGGACGCACACATTGGGACAAAGCCTGGACTTGCCAGGGAGGGGCCTGGCAGGCAGATGTGAGGCCAAAGTGAGGAGGCCACTGGCATACAGTGTGAGGCCACGTGAGTGAGGCTGGCGGTGAGTTCCCCGTCACAAGGGGTATTTAAAAAGAAGAAACAAGTAACCACAGAGGGGATGATGCAACAGACAGGAATTCGAGCTCTGCAAAGGGAGCGCAACCAAATAAAATTCCCAGCAGGCTCGGGCAGCCTGCGTGACAGATACCGGCCACGGGGAGCAGAACAACGGCTCCTAAAGACGTGGATGCCTAGCCCCCCTGGACCTGTGAACTGAGGCTGCAGATGGACTTCAAGTTGCTGATCAGCCTGTCTCACAGAGGGAGACGATCCTGGATCGGCTGGGTGGCCGGCCCCATGTAACTCCAAGCATCCTTAGAGGTGGAAGAAGTGGGCAGAAGCAGTCTGTGAAGGAAAGGCACAGACGCCTTTGACCATGGAGGAAGAGGGCGTCCAGCCAAGAAATGCGGGCAGCCTCCAGAGCTGGGGAAGGAAACAGCTTGTCCCCTAGAGGCCCTGGGAAGGAGCTGACCCTGCCGACACCCTGACCTCAGCCCAGCCAGGCCAAGAGCAGACCTAGAACCTACAGAACCGGACGGTGACAAATGTGCATGTTTTAAGACAGTACCTTAGTGGCAATTTGTTACAGCAATCATAGCAGATCAATACAGGATGCATTGGTTAACCCTTCCCAATCCTATCTGTGGCTTCTTGTCCCTCTAAGAAATACACATCGGGGTGGGCATTTGGCACAAAGGTTAAAACGACGCTCAGGATGCCCACATCCCATATTAAAGTGCCCGGTTCACACCCTGGCTCCTCCGCTTCCAACCCAGCTTCCTGTCAATATGCACCCTGGGAAGACGCGCATCAGATGGCTCAAGTACTTGGGTCCCTGCTACCCACACGGGAGATCCAGGCTGAGTTCCGAGCTCCCGGCTTCAGCCTGGTCCATCCCTGACTGCTGCGGGCATTTGGGGAGTAAATCAGCAGGTGAGAGATCTCTGTCTCTCTATCTGCCTTTCTTTCAAATTAAATGAAAATAAATGAATTTTAAAAATTTAAATTGACAGCTATCAAAACTCACTCTAACAGTGTCGGGATGAAGCCAGGCCCCAAGAGCAGCTGGGGGCTGAAAACCCAGGAGCCCGGGGAAGGAAGGGCAGCAGCACAAAGCCCAGCCTGCCTACCCTCACGTGTGAGGAAAGGAACTCTGGACTCAAGGACAGAGACCCCCTTCGACCACGGCAGGTGGCCCTGCAGGCCGCCCGTCAGACCGCCCGTCAGGGATCTTTGTTGGGCAGAGGGAACTCCCAGCCCTGGATCCTCGGGTTCCAGCATTCAGCCACGCATAGCTGAGCACTGAGTGTTCTGGTGTGTTCCTGGTGGCTTCTGCTTAGGCCATAAGGCAGGACTGGAGGGACCACACTGTCAATACGTCCTCTGCTGGCCAAAGCTCCCGTCACCTCAGCACAGCTCTGAGCAACTCCTGAGTCTTCAAAGCCACAGGACTAGCTCTACCTGCCTGCAGAGTCCCGCCCCTCCCTCATGCAACCCATCACTCAGCCCTGCCAACTGGGCCACCAGAATCTCTCTGCATCCACACACCTCTGCACCTCCTTACCTCTCCCTTGCACCTGCTCGGGGGCCTCCTTCCTCGCTTCTCCAGCGGCAGAGCGCGAGTCGGAGGAAGCCAGTCCCCTGAGTAAAGCACTCAACAGCTTCCCGGTGCCCTGATGACGAGAACCAACCTTCCTATCCTACCTTCCCAGCCCTCGGGAGAACAGGCCTCTCCCAGACTCGCCTTGAGCCACACCATCCTCCTTTGCTCCTTGAACATGCGGCATTCGTTTCCCACTCCTTAGAACGCTTCCAGCGAGCTTCTCCCAGTTAAATCCCGTGCACTATTTGCATCCATTTTCATGGGGAGGTCTCCTTGACCTCCAAACTCTTAGCAGATCATTTTCTTCTGTTATACCTACCTATGCCTTTTGCTCTTCTTCCCATGCACCCAAGATGAAAATACCCACATACACAATTGTTCGATGAAACTTGATCTTCCTTCCCTACCAGACCAGCTACCCCACATCGGCTGGCTCATCACTGAACTCCCTGAGCATACAGGAGGCACTACACATAAGCTTTAGGTATAAATGAATGAATACGACAGGACTCTGGTCCCCAAACCTGTTAGGGGTCTTTTCTCACAGGGTATCAGTGATGATCGCAAGGATTCCATAATTTCATAATTCTCTGATCCAAGGATCCCTTTCCTTGCATCTCACCAAGCAGAACTTTGCTTTGTTGCTGCTCTCACTGCCTCTCTTGTTTTGTTCCATGGGAGGGGTGAGGGATGTGGAGGCAGGGGGGTGAGTTGGAGGAAGCACCCGCCAGTGTTGGGGTTCGAATTGTAGCTCAGCCTCTCGGGAAGAGAGCAACCTGAAGCCCTGGGCCTTTCTCCTCTCTCCCAGGACGCCCAGATCCCCTGCAGAGGACTTGAGAAATAAGCAAGAGAGAAAGGACGAAGCGCTGACCACAGATCGGCCCCTGAGGAGCTGCTGCTCTGGTCATCTGCCAAAAGCCAGCCGGGCAGATTGGAGAACGCACGGCCGAGCAGCACTGATCCGCTTCTCCTTGGTTTCCGCCCCCTCCCCCCACCTGCTGCCAGAAAGGATTTAAGGTGGCTTCATAAAAAATAAAATGAGAAAACTGAATTTTAAAATAGCAAATCAAGAAAATTAGGCAAAAAGAAAATAAAGGCACGGGGCTGGCGCTGTGGCGCAGCAAGTTACCTTGCCGTCTGCAACACCGGCATCCCACATGGGCTGCCCCAGTCCCATTCCAGCTCCCTGCTAATGCACCTGCGAAGGCAGAGGGAGATGGCCCGAGTCCTTGGGCCCCTGCCACGTGAGAGACCTGGAAGAAGCTCCTGCCTTTGGTCTGGCCCAGCCTTGGCCGTTGCAGCCATTTGGGGATGGAAGGTCTCTCTCTCTTTTTTTTTTCTTTTTTTTTTCTTTTTAATTTATTTGAAAGACAGAGTTACAGAGAGAGGTAGAGACAGAAAGAGAGGTCTTCCATCATCTGTTGGTTCACTCCCCAGATGGCCGCAACGGGCAGAGCTGCGCGGATCCGAAGCCAGGAGCTTCTTCCGGGTCTCCCATGTGGGTGCAGGGGCCCAAGCACTTGGGCCACCTTCTACTGCTTTCCCAGGCTATAGCAGAGAGCTGGATCAGAAGTGGTGCAGCCGGGACTAGAACTGGCACCCATATGGGATGCTGGCATTTCAGGCCAGGGCTTTAACCCACTGTGCCACAGCGCCAGCCCCATCTCTCTCTGTCTCTCCTTCTCTCACTCTTGTAACTCTGCCTTCCAAATAAATAAATAAATAAACAGGTTCTGGACTCCTAGCCCTCTCTGTGCCCCAGGCATGGGGCTTTGGCCTCAGGCCAGATTGCACTGACTCCTCCAGAAGCCCTAAAACATGGGAACCATGAACAGGGAGAGTGAGAAGGGAAGTCAGCGCCTGGAATGGGGACAGTCACGCGGACGGGGCCTCAGGCTAGCCCTGCACTTTCCCACACAGAACGACAACCCCACGTGCACTGGGACCGGGGCGTGGAGAACCTGAACCCTGCCCCAGCCCGGCTCTTTGCACGTGGAGCCAAGTGTCTGCCAGTGCGATGATGCAAGGATGCGGGCAGTCCACGGTGTCTCCTGGACTCTTGGCAATGGTATCTTCCATCTGTTCTTTAAAGTCAGAACAGAAAGTCCTCCACGGAGAGATACTAGTTTTTATGGCTAAGCCAAGAAAGGCTACCAATGGGGAAGGGAGGGAGGGAGGGAGGAGCAATTTCCTGCAAAGGGGCAAGAACTGGCCTGCCAGCAGTCGGTGAACCCGTCTTCAAAGTCCTGCCAGAAATGACCGCCCCACTCTGTTCTGCCGCTGCGTGTGCGTACTCGCATTTATACAGACTCCTGTCCTCGTTACAGTAACAAGAGATGCTTGGTTCTGAAGCCAAGCTTTAAAAGCAGCCACACTCCATGGACCCCTGCCTATACCCCGCCACCCATTCATTCATTCAAGAAAGTACCTCTGGGCCGGTGCCGCAGCTCACTAGGCTAATCCTCCGCCTTGTGGCGCTGGCACACCGGGTTCTAGTCCCGGTCGGGGCGCCGGATTCTGTCCCGGTTGCCCCTTTTCCAGGCCAGCTCTCTGCTGTGGCCAGGGAGTGCAGTGGAGGATGGCCCAAGTGCTTGGGCCCTGCACCCCATGGGAGACCAGGAGAAGCACCTGGCTCCTGCCATCGGATCAGCGCGGTGCGCCATCCGCGGCGGCCATTGGAGGGTGAACCAACGGCAAAGGAAGACCTTTCTCTGTCTCTCTCTCTCACTGTCCACTCTGCCTGTCAAAAAAAGAAAAAAAGAAAATAAAAAAAAATAAAAAAATAAAAAAGTACCTCTGAGCATCCACTATGGGCCAACCCGTGTCCTAGGTTCTGCAGGGACAGGGAGGAAAAGACCCCACTGGGCCCCCCACACCACCCCCTGGCCCCCGGGGCACTGGCATTCTAGTGGGGAAGGGATCATTTGGCCTTTCTCACACAGATCGTTATTTCCAGACTGTGATAAGTGCTGCAGGGGGAAGCAGGAGAACCCTGGCTGAGGCTGGCCCGTTAGGAAGATTCCTCGGGGAAGGGATGTTTGAACCAAGCTCTGAAGGATGAATGCGAATTAAGCAGAGGGAAAGAGGCAGGGAAAAGCATGACAGGCAGAAAGAGCAGCAGCTGCAAAGGCCCTGAGGTTGAACTATGGCAAAGAGCCAAGAAGAGGGGGTCGCAGGAGGCACCAAGCAGGCATGACAAGCTGGGGGGACGCTGGGTCATCACGCTGTGCCCAGGGGAACACTGGAAGAAAGCGTGGCATGGCCGGATGTGCATTTTAGGAAGCGCGAAGCAGGAAGGAGAAGGGAAGATCAGATGGGAAGCTACAGTCAGAGGGCAATGGCAGAGAGCCAAGGACAGAAAGTGGCCTGGAAACACACCCGTAGATAGAAGAATTCCTGCCTCACACACACACCCCAGACCCTCCATCATGCTATGCACGTGCAGCACAGGCAGAAGGTCCTGACCTTACCTTGCCCCCAGCCAGGAGGGTTCCCCGGAGGCAGGGCGCTCCAGCCATGGGAGGAAGTGGGCAGGGGGCCCGCGGCCCCGCCAGGGTCCATCTGTGGTTCACAGGCCATAGCGGAGGCCCCGCTGGGCTTCTACTTCCCCTTCTCGGAGCCGAGGTTCATCCTGGAGCGGCCGGCTCAGCAGCGCTTGCCTGCAGAACACAGCACAAAAAGGAACTTCAGCCCGGGGCCCGAGCTGCCTCGGGCTCTCTGAGATCAAGTCACCAAGGCCAGGCAGAGCCGCCGGGGGTCGTTCTGCTGACCTTGGCCTTTCGGGCTATGCCGAGGAAAATTCTGGGAAGGAGCAGGAAAGAAAATCCTCCGAGGCCTTTACTGAGAACTTCGCTCAGGTCCCACGGGCACAGGGTGCTCAGCAGCTGACCAGGCCGTGCTCCCAACCCCTTCCTGAAGGCACCCCAGGTGCCCAGGCCCAGGCCAGCTATATTCTCTATAGGAAGCCTTGCTGACAAAAAGGATCTCAAATGGTTTCCCACAGGACATTGCGAAATACAAATGAAAAAAATCAGGTGGTGGGAAAAACAAATTACCAAAAAAAAAAAAAAAGCCTGACAACCACAAAGAACAAAAATACCCAGACGCTCAGACAGGCAGGTTCCCACACAAAGGCAGAGGGGGACTGTGTGCACGAACATGGACTCCACAGTCAGGCCAGCCAGGCCTCCGTGCCAGCTCTCCTCATCATGGGCCACCTGGCCGGACAGCTTCGGCTCTTCCAGTCCAAGAACCTTCCCTACAGAGCTGCCGCCATGAATGGATGGTTGATGATACACACAACAGTGAAAGCGGCAACGCCCACTGCTCCACCAACGGCAGCCCTGCTGGCTGCTATTTCAGGATGTGACACCTGGGGCCGGCAGAGTGGCTGGCACAGCAACACCAGCATCCTCTATGGGTGCCGGTTCGAGTCCTGGCTACTCCACTTCTGATCCAGCTCCCTGCGAACAGCCTAGAAAATCACTGGAAGATGGCCCAAGTGCTTGGGCCCCTGCACTCACATGGGAGACCTGGATGAAACTTTTGGCTCCTGGCTTTGGCCTGGCCCAGCCCCAGCTATTGCAGCCATTTGGAGAGTGAACCAGTAAGGTGGAAGAATACCTTTCTCTCTCTCTCTAGCTCTCCTTCCCTCCCTCCCTCTCCCCCCGACCCCGTAACTCTGCCTTTCAAATAATATAAAATAAATCTTTTTTAAAAAAGGCAGATTTGAGGGGCTGGCACTGTGGCTCAGTGGGTTAACTCCCTGGCCTGAGGCGCTGGCATCCCATATAGGCGCCGGTTCGAATTCCGGCTGCTCCAATTCCTGTCCAGCTCTTTGCTGGGGCCCGGGAGGGCAGCAGAGGATGGCCCAAGTCCTTGGGCCCCTGCACCCATGTGGGAGACTGGGAGGAGGATCCTGGCTCCTGGCTTCGGATCGGCACAGCTCTGGCCGTTGCGGCCAATTGGGGGGTGAACCAACAGATGGAAGACCTACCTCTCTCTCTCTCTCTCTCTCTCTCTCTCTCTGCCTCTCCTCTTTCTGTGTAACTCTAACTTTCAAATAAATAATTAAATCTTAAAAAAACAAATAAATAAATAAAAAGGCAGACTTGACATAGTTGCTGCACCTGAGCCAATCATTTGGTTTTGTGTTTCCAGGGAGCCAAAGCTGCAAGGGAAGCACTGTCCGTTAGATGGTGGTCTGTAAGGAGAAAGGAGGGGAGCGGTGTGGCTTCCGGGCACTGAGCCCTCAACAAGCTGGGCAATGCTGCCCAGGGCTCCAGGGCCACGTCACAGGGAGGCACAGGTGGGCAGTGCCCTTAGCCACTTTCTTCAGCAAAAGCAGGGAAGTTTCCTGGATGAAAAAGTCTCCATTGACATCTGCTCTGGCAGCACCCTGCACACGTTACCCACCTGGGGCCCCAGAACCACCCGCTTACCACATAACGTCATGCCGAAGCCCCCTGACATGACACACAACCCCTTAAATGTCAGGGTGCAAAGGCCACCGGCACCTTCTGCAGCTACTCCGGTTCACAAGGTAGGGCAAGACGTGAAGTGCTCGGCGGGCACCTGTTCTCACGTCCTCTTGATCCTGAGCTGCCCAGGGCTCAGCACCGACCAATGCCCATGAAAGGGTGACTCCCCTGTCCTCACCATCTTCCACTCCTCTCAGGATCATGACCGGCAGTGCCCAGTGCAAAAGGAAAATGTGAGGCCCCTTGTTCAGAAATGATGAGGAAGGGCCAGCACTGTGGTGTAGGTTAAGCCTCTACCTATAGTGCCAGCATCACATATGGGTGCTGGTTTGAGTCCCGGCTGCTCCACTTCTGATCCAGCTCCCTGCCAATGATCCTGGGAAAGCAGTGGAGGATAACCAAAGTGCTTGGGCCCCTGCACCCACGTGGGGGACCTGGAAGAAGCTCCTGGCTCCTGGATTCAGCCTGGCCTGGTCCCAGCTATTGTGGCTATTTGGGGAGGGAGTCAACAGATGGAAGATGTTCTCATTCTCTCTTTCTCTCTCTCTCTCTCTCTCATTTCTGCCTTTCAAATAAATAAATTAAATCTTAAAAGAAATGATGAGGAGTTTCAAGATAGTGACAGCTCAGCATGAAACCAAACCAGGGATACTGGAGCCAGGATGCAGGTTAGGCTGCTGCCTGCAACGCTGGCCTCCCATAGGAGCACGAGTTTGAGCCCTGGTTTCCCAGTTCTGGTCCAGCTCCCTGCTAAATGCACCAGGGGAAGCAGCAGAGGATGGCCCAAGTGCTTGAGTCCCTGTCTCTGACATGGGAGACCCAGATGGCATTCTGGGCTCCTGGCTTCAGCCTGGCTCCGTCTCAGCCGCTGCAGCTGCGGCGGGGGGGGACTGCACCAGCAAAAGAAAGTGCCCTCTCGATCTCTGTCACTCTGCCTTCAAATAAATAAATAAATCTTTTAAAAATAAAAAAAAAAACTGGGGGGGGGGGGGTAGGGAGCCCCTAGGTGGAAGGCCCTGAGTTCAGGTTGCATGCACCTGAAGTTGGCCCCGACTTCAAGCTCTGGACACTCACTTGGGAGTGCTTCCAACCAAGCACATATAAAAGACGAGCGTTTCACTAGCAATTATCACACCAGCCTCGAAGACTGGAAGGCAAAATACCATGAAACGCTAAAGCCTTTACAGCCTGCAAACACGGGCTGGAATCCCCACTCGGGTCGTTCATGTGATCTGTGACATCTGCTGCCCCAGGCACTCAGCCCAGATCTTCCTAGCCCCGTTTGGAAGATGGGGGTCAGGAGAGAAAACTAAGGCTGAAAGATGGGAAGAGCCCTGCTTAGGGCGGGGTGGCTGTCAGCTACAGAGCCACAGCGAATCCAAGCCAACCGGCTCCAGAGTCCAAGCCGTAGCTGCCATGTCCTTGTACCTCTGGACTCCGGTTCTGGCTGTCTCTTAGGCACCTTTGAAAAAACGGGGTGGGGGGGGGTCAAGGAAAGGGCATTGCCCAGGCCCAAGCATGGTTAAGCAACAAATGGCTCACTGTGGCACTCAGATACGATGAGCGTTTACTGTCAATCTGTTCACACCTCACTTCCTTCCCCTAACCTCGAACCCACCAGAGGCCTGAACAGGGCAGGATACCAAATATAGCCGCCAGGCACTCACCAATCACCCGCCCGCCTCAGCCGTCCCCTTCCGAGGCTCAGGAGGCACACACATCGCTTGCAGTCACGGGCCAGAGAGCCCGAGAGCGGGGCAGCTGGGAGCCCGCGGCCCAGAGACATGGGACTGGAGTCTCAGCGTGGACTGGGGGACCCCAGAGCAGGCAGGGCCCACACACACAGGTGGAACTGCATAGGCCCCTCCCAAAGTGCCTGGAAGGTTTGTGCCAGGAAGTCACTGCAAAATCCCACAATGAAGTATGGTCTTGGGCAAGAAACCCCAGCTCCCTCATTGGCCTCATTAGCCACCCACAGGTCCCCGTCAGCAGCCTTCACTTGTTCACCTGGATGCTGGGCTGGGCCGGGCTCCAGGTATCCTGCCCGGTCCTGCCACTTCCAACCCAAGGCACCCAGAGCCAGTTCCTTAACGTCTCTCTGCCTCAGTTTCCCCCTGTGTAAATGAGGATACGTTCAGGTCGTTGCGAGGGTTAAGTGCCCGCGGGTACAGCACTCAGAACCCCAGGAAACAGGAGTCACTGGAGGGGCGGAGCTGGCAGCATCTTTACTCCAGGAAGCCTGGAGGCCCGGGTCCTGCACCTTTGCAACTGCAAAACCCAGAACAGAACCTGAAGGCCCAGCTCAGGCCTGCCTGCTGGGGACCCACATCTGGGGAGAAAGACACAGTCACAGAAGAACTGAGAAACAACCACCCAAGAAGAAGCTCCCCGGGGCTGGGGAAAGGCTCTTCCGAAGTGCTTCCAGGAGGAGGCGAGCATCAGCACCTGCCCAGAGTACAGACCAGAGGCCAGGATGGGGCCCCCAGAGCCTCTGAGGCTGCACACCCTAAACTGCGCACTCACCTCCAGCCCCGCCCCCGCGGCCCACTGACTAGCCCGAGGGCTGGCTCTGACCCGCAGTACCGCCAGCGTGTCCAGGGTCCTTAGACACACAGCAGGCTGCAGGCAGAGCAGGGCGGACCAGAGCTTTGAGGCGGGCGACCCGGGTATAAACGCCTGACTTCTGAGCTCCCTTGGCCAATCCTGCACTTGAACCAGTCCTGCCAGGCACCCGTCTTGCACAAGTTCGGCTCCCCCAGAGTCTCCATCTCTGCAGACCGTGAGCGCCCTGACTCCCCCAGGAACGGTGTGCCTCCCTGACCTTCAGCCCCCATAAAGAGAAACTTATTTGCCTAAGTTGATTCTGTTTTTGATTGTTACTATGGAGCTCCAGGCTCTCCATTTTACAGCTCAGAAAATTAAGACCCAGAAAAGCAGATGAGGTACCCAAGGTCCAGGACCCAGGGCAGAGCCGAGCCAGAACCAACACCCCGGCTCCTTCAGCCCGGGAGTCCACCACAGGGGCACGAAGCCTTGGCCTTGGGCATTTGCGTCTCAACGGGTCTCTGCTTCCCTGGGGACAGCCTACCGCCCTGCCCCGGCCGCGGCTTCCAGGAGGCGCCGGGAGACCGGTTCCCACGCCCACCGCGTGGCGGGGAAGGGGCCCAAAGGCGCACGGAGAGGCGGGGACGCTGCCCGCGGCGCCCACCCCAGAGCCCTCGGGATTGGAACGCAGGCCGAGGAGGGCGCGCGCAGAAGGCCGCGCAGCAGCCGCAGCCGCGCCGCACAACAGCGCGACCTCGGGCGCGCGCCCCGGGCCCGCGCACACTCACCGTCCGCGCCGCCGTCGCCGCCACCGCCACCGCCACCGCCTACGGACGCGGGAGGTCGGAGGGCCCCGCGCCCCTTCCGCGCCGCAGCCTCCCGGTCCCGCCGCGCTGCGCCCCGCCCGCCGCTCGCGCCGCCCGCCCCCCGGGTCCGCCCCCACCGGGAGGAGCCGCCCGCCAGGCTAGTCTCGGGCCCGGAGGGAACGCTTCTCCCGGACCCGCGGGCCGCGTGTCATCAGCCGGCTCCCCCGGGACGGCGCCACGTGCCCGTCCGCGCGCAGCTTACCGGTGCGGTCGCTCGCAGTCACGCGACCCGGCGGATGAGGCCGTGTGTGGGACCGAAGGTCCTGGAGCGCTTGCTCTCGGTGTGTGCGAGGTCCTGCGAAGAGCGTGGGTTTGGGGTCAGAGAACCCGAGCTCTAATCCGGCTTGCTCCACTTCTTACATCATCGGCTAAATTAGCTCACCTGGCTGTGCCTTAGTTTTCTGCAAAAAGGGGTTGGGGGCGGGTTGGCCAATACAACTATGTCGTGCGAGGGGAATTAAGGAGAGCAGCTGGGAGAAGTGTTGCGCAGCCAGCAGGCGCATAATTACTGCTCAAAGTTGTGGCCGCAACTGCTGGACAGGCCAGAGCTCCCTGCCTGCGGCTGTCACCCCCACGGTGGCAGGATCTGCCGTGAAAAGTAAGTGCCCTCTCCCTTGCAGAAGGCACGACCCGAACGTATTTTTCCTTAGAGCGCAGGGTGGCAGGGACGCGTGTTTTATAGGAAAGGGGGCTCCGTTGTGTGCTGTGGGGCCCTCTGCTTTTGGCGTTCTCCGCTTGCAGGGGCACTGGGCTCTGCCTCCCGTCCCCTTGCAGGGCTCTGAGCTCCCCGACTGGCAGGAAGGCACTTGACTCTCCTGGCCCTCCGTCCTGCCCACGAAGGCGGTCCCCACTCCTGCTGCCTGGCCTTGCCGGGATGCGGCTGGGACTTAACGTCCACGCGGCAGCCTGCACTTTTCTACGGGTGGACTCAGAATGCTCCTGCGCTTTTTAATTTCAACAGATCTTGCCAAATGGTTGGGGCCGGGGTGGGGGGGTTGCTCTAAGAACACAGGCTTGGCTGGCTGTGGTCAGTCAGCCCCACCCCCACGCCCAGGCAAAGTGCTTGGAGGCGGTGGGCGGTACCTGAGAACCCTGGCTCCATCGTTCACCAGGCAACTGAGTGTCCTAGCAGCACTGTCTGCTAAGTGCCAGGTGTTGTCCTGGGCAGCGGTAAGCTGTGTTTAGTGCCTGGTGTTCCAGCAAAACGACTTGGAAGCATGAGAGCAAGGGGCCCAAGGAGCTTTGGAGTTTCACCAAATGCTGATAGGCTACTGAAAGACAGCTGCAGCAGGGGGGCGGCCTGGTCCCCAGCAGGGCCCCTCTGCCCGGTGAAGCTGGGTGGATGGTCTCTGCCCTTTCTGCTAGGCTGCCTTTACCCTTCCTCCTCGCTGCGGTCACCCCAGCATGCACTTACATGACACATCTGTGTCCTGTATTAGGGAGGCACAGAAGATAGAGGACTTGGGGGCTGGCCAACCTGGCTTGGGGGCATGTGACCTCAGGACAGCTCAGTTCACTTTATTAAAAAAAAAAAATGGAAAAAAATTTGTTTGAAAGGCAGAGTGACAAAGAGGGAGAAAGACTTTCCATCTGCCCTCACTCCTCAAACGGCTGCAACGGCTAGGGGTGGGCCAGACTGAAGCCAGAAGCCCAGAACTCCATCCGGGTCTCCAACATGGATGGCAGGGGCCAGAGCACTCGGCGCCATCCTCTGTTGCTTCCCCAGGTGCATCAGCAGGGAGCTGGATCTGAAGCAGAGCGGCTGGGACTCAAACCGGTGCTCTGATGTGGGATGCTGATGCTGCGAGGGCAGCTTACCCCACTGCACCACCCCAGCAGCCCCGCAGTTTGCCTCCTGAACTTCAGTGTTTTTGCAGAGGGTGGACAATGCCTGCTGAAGGGGGTGACTGCACTAATGAAATGAGGAGTTGCTCCACAGAGTGAAATGCAGGCTTGAACAGCAAGGCGTCTTGCGTTTGCATCTCGAAACTCCTGCACGTGGCCAGTCCTGTTACTGTGCCACGGCGCAGTGGCGGCTCCATGTACAATGGAGAAAGGACAATAAAATCCAGCCACGTGTGCTGGAGAGCAGACTTCAGTACTGTTATTCTGATGAATTCACAAAGCCTTTGGCGGTGAGCCCAAGCCCTTCCCTGCCTTCAGCTTGGCCTGGACTAATGTTTATCCACTCTCCCAACCCCTAAAATACCCTAAGCTCCAAGAATACACAGTATCTTTCAGTTCCTCCTACACCCCAAGTTCTCACTTCCAGTTCTCCGGGGTTACCATTCCCTCTTCATTGGGAAGGCCCGCCCCAAACCCCACGGACAGCTGTCTCAGGTCTTGACCGACAGTCTCTGGGAGCCCTTTACTGTCCTGGGCCTGGCTGCACCCCCCGTTCACAGTTACCTTGTTGGACCTGCACCCCAACCTGTCACCTGGTATGCTCGTCATTCAGTTCTTCCCCAGAAAGACAGTATACCTCTGGGGCACGAGGTATTTCTGCCTGTGCTCGGAGCTGTCTTCCCAGCACCCTACCCTCAGAATGTGTTAAATGCATCTGAAGTGCATGGATAGATATGAATGACATCATCAGGGTCTCACCTACAAATAAACCCAAGCCGTCACAAACCCCAGGCAAAGCCACCCTTACGCAGCAGTGGCTCCACCTGTCCTGTCGTGACCCTTGGCAGAGGGCCAGCTGCCAACGCGATTTGGCAACCTGGATGAAAATGATAAACTTCCCAGCTGGTGTTGCTGCAGATGGTACAGGGGACAGCCTCAGCCCCTCGGGGTAAGTGAAAAGGCAAAGATCGAAAATGAGATCTAGTTTTTTTGGAGCTGCCACTTACAGATTCACTGTCTTCCTAAACTTTAGAAATGCACTGTTGAAACATGACCAGAGCCTGAACAACTTGCACTAAAGTTGCTGGTGCCATAGTGGTGGCGTTACTCCCTAGACCCACGCCAGCCCCCTGGTAAGCTATTTTTTAAAGTATTTGCAAAAATGTGCCTGACAGAATGTTTATTGCTGGTAGCTCCATGACACTTGTTTCAACTGAAGTCCCCGGGCCAAGTGACAAGCTCCACTGTTAGATACAAGACATGGGCTGACAGCGCGTGGGAGCTTGGGACTGAACACGCAGCTGTCCTTGTCAGAAGGTGCGCTGGGAGTAAGACAGATCGTGTGCTGTTTGTCAGGAAACTGGGGCACATCAGACGAAAACAAACCCTCTGAATTCGTGACAGGAAGGCCAGCAGCCCTCCTAGGCCATCAGGGATCCCTTTCTACACTGAAGACTGGACAAGTGCTGCCAGGATAGAAAACGGGCAGGGTTGGGGGGGCTCACCTCCGGCTGGGGCGAGGAGGGGAGGGCGATTGAAGGTAACCAGGCTTTAACTAGAGCTTTCCTGCTTTAAAAACACGGGAGGCAGTGGCAGACAGCCCAGTCCTGTCTCAACCACTAGCCTAGCAGCCTCCCCCGAGCTCACCTCCAGCAGCTACCAACAGTTCTAGGACGCTGCCACTCTGCCTTTTGTTATTTTCAAGTAGAAAGGGGCCGGGGCGATCTGCTCCCTGACTCTCAAAGCCTCCCCACCCCACCCCACCCGCCACCCACAGGGAGCTATGGCCTTAAATTCACACTTGACCCAGGAGCCAGTTGTTGTCATCTGAAGTCTTCTAAAAGCCGGAGGAAGCAGATGTTGACACGATCCGGCAGCTTCCTCTCCTCGAACCACTGGCCAAGCTTCCCATAAAGCACGCGCCTAGCATGCTGCTTAAAACTGACCTATTTGCAAGGGAAGTGGGGGCTGGGGGCACAGCTGCTTGCTGTGTGTGGAAACTGCTGCACTCATTTCACAGCCACCAGTCCTGTGACATCAGCTGACAGGAGAAAACGCTCCTATCTGCCGGACTCTCCCCGAACAGGTAGAGGTAGAAATGAGGGGCCCAGAACACACACAACCCTGACCGGCTTCCCTACCCCTGGTGCCATCAGTCTTCCTGGTGGAATGGTGGGGCCAGAGCTTTACTGGGCTGAAGGAGGCGAGTACCCTGCTCCCCAAAGCATTCTGAAAACACCTGAGAGTACAGCCAGGCTTTTGCTTTGCAGCCTCTGAGCTGAGTGGACTTCACGTCCATCACATCCTTGCTCCACACCTCGAACATTCTCTAAGCCTCTGGGCCACATCTCTTCTCCGTGGAAATGGAAAGCCAATGCCTAACCTGCAGGGTTGTTATATGAAGTGCTCAGAACATAGTGGGCTGGTTCCCTAACCTCTCTGCCTAGCAGCTCATAGTTGCCTAGTTGCTACGAGGATTAGTTTTGATAAAGGCAGCTCTTAGACCAATAGCCAGCCCAGAGACACCTATACTTGACAACTACAGCAAACATTTTTTCCTCATGGAACATCCATGGGCTTCCTCTTTATTTCTCGGCTCCCTCCTGGTTAGATTGGGTTACGTGACCTCCGCTGATTAAGTGGCTGAGAGCAAGTGTCATGTGTCTTTCAGCACTGAAGCATGTCTGCCAGCTTTGCCTTCCCATCCCTGCACCTGAGGAAACCAGCAGCGGAGATGGTGGGACGGGAGTGGAAGTAAACTCAATCACTGTGAAGGCTGTCCTGAAGTCACCCAAACTGCAGCAGGCACTAGAAATAAAATTTTGTTTTATTAAGCCACTGGGATCGCAGAGCCTGGCCTAGCCTCACCACTACTGCTATTATTACACTTTTAATAATGAGTAGAGCGAGAAAATTATGGCTGATTTCAAAAAATTAAGAAACCCTTGCTGAGCACCTAGATCGTTCCAGTACTACATGCAGTGCTTCCCTCTAAGAAACAGATGTATCAATCTGGAAGGGAGAGTGGCAGGGATCTTCCATCCACCGGTTCACTCCCCAATTGGCCTCAACAGCAGGGCTGGGCCAGGCTGAAGCCAGGAACTGGCAACTCCATCTGGGTCTCCCACAGGGGGGCAGAGGTCCACCCACTCGGGCCATCCTCTGCCGCTTTCCCACGAGCGGGGCGCTGAGGCACAGCGGCCAGGACTCTAACCGGCACTCCTATGTGGGATGCGTTTCAGCAGGTGCTGAACCCTCCATGCCACACCAGCAGCCCCTGTGCTTTATTTTTAATCCTTCTGTTACTGCTGTGCAAATAGTTCCCATCTGGGGATGGTGTGGGGACCCAAAAATACGTACCACTTCCCTCAAGCCAACTCCCCCCACCAGCCACTACTGCATCCCTCCCTCAAACCAACTCTCTCTACACACTTTATACTAGGTTCCTCTCCCAGGTCACCAAGCCCTTTACTTTTCAGATGTCTTGTTCTGTCGACTGACCACTGGTCACATCCCTTTTCTAAATACTCCCCTCGGCTTCTGTGACTAGCAACACAGGGCTGCTTGGTTCAACCAGTCATAAAATAAGCAAAGCTTTACCAATCCAGGATGAAAATATCCGTGGCAACCAGGTTAAAAATCTTGGGTCAGTGAGTCTAAGTGTTGCCTCCTGTCTCTCCAGTTTAGGAAACCTGTATTGGCAGGGGCAGCAGATAAGGAGTTGCTACAGTTAGCAGTCACACCAAGAGTTAAGCTGCAATAAGCGCAGGATGTTAAGATGGAGGTATTTACTAAACATTCATGTCAAAACATCAAATAAGCAATTTGACAGGAGTTTGAGATACAAGTATCTTCAATACAGACAACAATGCCAGGAAATGAGTGGTTTCATCAGGAAATATGTACAGAAGGCCAAGAACAAAACCTTGGGAAAACAGGAGAAGGCACTGGGAAGAGACTGAGAAGCAAGGTAGCTCACCACTGGATAACAGAAGGAAACTAAGAGTGTTTCAGGGCCAGCGCTGTGGCACAGCAAGTAAAGCCACTGCCTGTGGCACCAGCATCCCATATGCGTGCCACTTCAAGTCCCAGCAGCTCCACTTCCAACCCAGCTCCCCGCTAATGCACCTGGGAAAGGGCAGAAAGTAGCCCAAGTGCTTGGGCCCCTACACCCACGTGGGAGACCCAGATGAAGCTCCTGGCTCCTGGCTCCGGCCTGGCCCAGTCCCAGGCCCTTGCAGCCATCTGAGTAAGCCAGTGGATGGAAGATCACTCTGTCTCTCCCTCTCTGTAACTTTGCCTTTCAAACAGACCAATCTTTCAAAAAAATTAATAAAATGTTTCAGGGGAAGAAGAGTGGCCAAGCCCATGAAATAATCCTAAACGTCAAATGGTAGAAGGCTGGGTTTCTCAGTGTGGACACCACCACTGACCCTGACGAGCAGTTTCAGGGAGTCAGGCGTGGGTGTTTTAACAGTAAAGTCAAACAGCTTGCATAAGAAAACTTTCTGAGGTCTTCTACTACAAAACAGACATGGGGGCCAGCGCTGTGGTACAGTGGATGAAGCTGCTGCCTGCAATACCAACATCCCATACAGGCGCCCATTTGTGTCCCTGCTGCTCCACTTCTGATCCAGAAACTGCTGGTGGCCTGAGAAAAGCAGCAGCAGATGGCCCAAGTGTTTGGGCTGCTGACACACTCGTGGGAGACCTGCCTGGCCTTGCCCTGGTCGTGTGGCTATCTGGGGAGTAAACCAGTGGATGGAAGATCTTGCTCTCTCTTTCAAATATATTTTTAAAAGTCTTATCTTTCAAGCCGGTGCCGCGGCTCAACAGGCTAATCCTCCGCATTGCGGCACCGGCACACCAGGTTCTAGTCCCGGTTGGGGCGCCGGATTCTGTCCCGGTACCCCTCTTCCAGGCCAGCTCTCTGCTGTGGCCAGGGAGTGCAGTGGAGGATGGCCCAAGTCCTTGGGCTCTGCACCCCATGGGAGACCAGGATAAGTACCTGGCTCCGGCCATCGGATCAGCGCGGTGCGCTGGCCGCAGCGCGCAGGCCGCAGCGGCCACTGGAGGGTGAACCAACGGCAAAGGAAGACCTTTCTCTCTGTCTCTCTCTCTCTCTCACTGTCCACTCTGCCTGTCAAAAAAAAAAAAAAAAGTCTATCTTTCAAATATATTTTTAAAGTCTTTCTAGCTGTATTGGTAAGGAAATCCCATGCTCTTTCAACCATTTCTACCAGAAATTAGTTTCAAACCAACAAAAGACTTGCAGCTAACAGAAAGACATTTAACTCTTATAAGTGGGAGTGTGAAGTCACTAAGAGCTTTAGTCACGTCCTTTAGCCCACCAGGAGGACACAGGCTGATAAACTGCCAGGGCAGCCCGGTATCAGGAAGAAGCAGCGAGCTGATACTACTTCTTGTTTTGTAAACCAATTTTTAGGTAAAATTACAAGCATTTTGCTTCTTGCTAAATCTGTACATCTTGAACAATTTCTAACTATGAATGCAAATGTGATATGTGAGCTAATTTCCTAAGTGGAATTCTGCAGAATCTGAAGAATTCTGTAGGCCAAAGTGCATTTTGCATTATCATACAGGATGAACCAGAGAAGTGTGAGAGATAGAACACATGACAAAGTCTTTACTTTTAAATTATCAGTACACCAAGTAATAACATGCAATAAGTTCTTAAATTCTATCATCTAGTAATTTTGATTAACAAGCTAAAAGCAGCCTAAACAATTACACGAGTAATTCATTGCTTTTGCCTTTAGAATAGACATTAAGGCTGGCTGCTGCTTCACACAAGTTACAAGAAACTATTTACTACTTTTTCATAGATAAAGCCCCTGACCTTCAAGAAAGCATAGGGGAAACAAATTGTTTAGTCCCTTTCTTTCTTCAAAGAATTTTTTTTTATACAAGATCTAAGATAGAAAAGTCAACACTGACATATATGTTGCTTGAACTAAAAGGCACAGGAAAACACACGACATATTAAATGTCTCTAAGAAATACGAAGTAAAAAGATGAACTCTTTGGAAAGTCTGGATAAAGAAGCTAACGAGTGAAGGCCCTCCTATGAAACACACAGAAATAATTTAATGCCTTGTCATGAGGGCAGAGCGTGAGCTTTGCTGAGGCTCCATGCTCCACGAGAGCATCTGAAACGCCCAGCCGTGGAACAAGGGCAGCTTTCTTCTATCCGTTTATGCGGTAGTTCTCATGGATTTCTGGCCGGATGTCACAGACAAAGGCCAAGAGGTTATCCAAGACCTCATCCCTGTTCTGCTGGAAGTAGGTCTGCAGGATGGTCATCTTCTCCTGGGTCTCCTTCTCTACTTCGCTGCTGCAACTGCCGTGGGATCCCAGCGCCTGCAGTGGGAGGAGGACACAGAGGGAACGTCAGGAATGGCCAGGACATCCAGAAAGCTGCTTGCTGACTTGGGGAAACCCGGGCTCCTCCATGAAGGTAAGCGATCAGCAGCAGACAATGTAGCCTCATGACTGCACAGCATGTGGGGAAGCAGACACTGCCAGAGTTAACGGGAGTCACGTTTATCCAAAGGTCAGCTGCACGGCCTTCCCACTGCTAGAACCCTACTCCAGAGACGATACTCACATCTCTCCAGAGTCTAAGTGTAGCCTTAACCAGACTAGAATTGATCTTCAAACTCAAAAACTGAGGACTGGTTAAATAAATTAAGGTGCTTCCATGGATGAGTTCTTAAAGTACACAAATTAGGGAGGAAAAAAGCAAGACACAGAGCACTAGTCAGGAGATACACACATATGTATAGATACAGATATTTGTGTGTGTGGTTTTAAAAGAGGAAATACGTGGTATCTTAAACACTCTTTAAAAATGGCCTGGGAAAAGCAGCAAAAGATGGCCCAAGTGTTTGGGCTCCTGCATCCACAGGGGAGACCCAGATGAAGCTCCCGGCTTCAGTTTGGCCCAGCCCTGTCCGTTGTAGCCATCTGGGTAGTGAACCAGCACATGGAAGATCTCTGTCTCTCCCTCTCTTTAACTCTGACTTTCAAATGACCCAGCAATCCCACTCCTGGGAATTTACCCAAACAAAATAAAATCAGTATATCAAAGAGTTATCTGTACCCCCATGTTTATTGCTAACACACAATAACTAAGATGTGGAATGAACCCAGATGTCCATCAACTGATGACTGGATAAAGAAATTATGGTGTATAAACACACACAATGGAATACTACTCAGTCATAAAAAATAAAATCTTGTCTTTTGCAACAAAATGGATGCAACTAGAAACCATTATACTTAGTGAAATAAGCCAATTCCCCAAAAGACAGGTATGTTCTCCCTGATCTGTGGTAACAGAGTACCAAAAATGTAATGTATAGGAGTGAATTTGACATTTTAAGCTTCAATGATTGTTTAGAGCCCTGAACAGTGGTTTCTATTTTTCTTATTCTTAGTATCTGTTTAACTCTTTACTTAGCGTATGGTTAATCTTATAAGTAAACCATTGCTTACATCTTATAAGTATAAAGTAAATCACTGTAAAAATTAAGAAAGGGATTAGGAGAGGAAAAAAGAGGAAGGGTGGGAGCATGGGTGGGAGGGAGGGCAGGGTGGAAAATATCACTATGTTTCTAAATCTGTATACATGAAATTTGTATACCTTAAATAAAATTTTTTTAAAAACTATTTAGAAACAAACACAATGAAAATACAGTTTAGGACAAGTATATAAGTTTCACCATTACTGGTTAATGTTTAAGCTCTTAAGTTCATCAGTAGATTCACCAATATTATAAATACATGACATCTGTTCTTTCAAATATAGATATTCTAGAAGAACTCACAAAACACTGCTACCAATGTCGAGCTCTGAGGACTTCCAGGCTGGGAGAGAGGCAAACTGATTTCTCACTGCCACCTTTTCTACTCAATATTTTTATCTTATTACACTTTACTCTTCAGTTTTTATTCATAATTTGAGACACGCTGGCTGATGAATGTTCTTTTACCTTCTATGATCTTCACAGTCAGGTAGGCTCTTTGTTAACTGCGATAGTTTATTTGAACTTGACCTATCAGGTTCTCCAAGACATAATTTCATGTCTGAATCTTCTCATCAGCTAGTGTGCTGTTTTCTCATATAGATTTATACATTAGTTTACAAAGCATTCTCTCATATTGCCTGTTCCTCACAACAACCAAGAAGGAGGCTATCACCCCTTCTTAGATTAGGAAAATAAGGCTCAAAGAGGGCAAAGTAAACACGCAGACTCAAACCCAAGTCTTCTGAGTGCAAACTTAAGAGCTGTTCATACTACATTATAACTGCTTGTATTATAGGAATACCCTGGAGCAGTTCGTAAGAGATCAGTCACTAATTCATATTTTTAAGTCCATAACCTCTACTCGGGATAAAAACTCATTTCTGTTACCAATATAAACCGCTGCCAAGTTCCCTAAGTTACCTCAAGATGGAAACAATTATAGATGAAAATCACTAGAAAACTCAGCTTTTGCTTTAACAGTACAACACTGATAACATCTCTGTAATTGCACAGTAGAGGGTAAAACTATAGAGATAAGATGGCCGCTGGACACAAGTATTTCTCCACTGTTTTGTTAGTAGTCTGACGACTTACAGCAACAATCAGCCTAACTTCAAGCATCAGGAAACAGTTTAAGATTTTTGTAGATAACATAATTCAGTTTTTGTATTTATTTTTACTTACTGGAAAGACAGACAGAGAATCTCCCATCTGCTGGTTCACTCCCCAAATGTCCACACGAGTCAGGGATGGGTCAGGTCAAAGCCAGGAGTTTGGAACTCATTCTGGGTTTCCCATGTGAGTGGCAGGACTGAAATGCCTGAGCCAACATCTGCTGCCTCCCAGGGTGCACATTAGCAGGCAGCGGGAATCAGGAATCAGAAACAGAGCCAGGATACGAACTCAGGCACTGAGAGGGGACATGGGCAGCCCAAGAGGTGTCTTAGCCACTGTGCCCAAAACTCACCCTGCATTTTAAATTTTAATTTAAAAAATCACCCTGTGCAAAGATGGTGGAAACTTTTGTTATTGAAGGCCAAGAAGGACGCATGTGCCTCTTAATACCAGACGCAAGCCACCACAATGTAGAACTTGAGAACAAAGCACACAAAATCAAAAGCAGAGCTCAGAAAGCAAGAGTCCTGAGCGTATTTTTTAAGCTCAGGATCAAAATAAAGTTAGCCTTTCACCTAGGTTTTTAGTTATACCGGCCAAGAAATTCCACTGTGCACCAGTATGAACTGCGTTTTCCAAGAGTGTTGACGGTTTTCCTCCTCCACTCTTTCCCTTTACAGACTGATGATCCCTGCTTCCTCTGTATTTTCTGTGATCTGTTTTTGTACTATGATCCAATGCATCTACTGACTAGTGGTAAATGCCTCTCACTATACTACACTAAAGCAGGGCTCTGTTTATGCTGCTTTACAGCTAAAGGTCTGCAAGACTGTAAGCTAAGCTCTGTGAAGGCAGGGGTCAGATCTCTTTCTGTTCACAGCTGATTCCCTATCATCTGTCTCAGTACTCGGCACTATTTGATAGATTATTTGTTAAATGACTGAGTAAGTGAAGACTAGGATTCAATGTTAGTAAACAAGACTCCTAAAAGATGCAGCCTGAGCATACAATAAAATGCATGATACCCAAATTTGCAGAACTCTACAAGAGCCAGAACCTCTGAGCTATATTTTTAAGAGCCTGGGGGAAAGAGGAAAGGAAAGTGATGAAAATAAATGGGGGTGGGGGGTGTGGCGCTGTGGTATAGCGGGTAAAGCTGCTGCCTGCTGTGCTGGCATCCCATATGGACACCGGTTTGAGCACTGGCTGCTCCACTTCTGGTCCAGCTCTCTGCTATGGCCTGGGAAAGCAGCAGAAGATGGCCCAAGTGCTCGGGCCCCTGCATACGCATGGGAGACCCAGAAGGAGCTTCTGGCTTCGGATCGGCTCAACTCCAGCTCTTGCAGCCATCTGGGGAGTGAACCAGAACATGGAAGACCTCTCTCTCTCTCTCTCTCTCTGGCTCTGCCTTTCAAATAAATAAATAAATCTTTTAAAAAAAGAAAAAGAAAAGGGGGCCCACCGCAGCTTCCTTGGCCTTGAACTCCTTCTCCCTCTGCAGGCGGTACTGTTCAATTTCAGCCTGTGCTTCTTCTTTGGCCTGCTTCAGCCTCCGGTTCTTTCCTGTTTTCAAAACAGAGAACTAATCAGGAAGTGGTTAAAAGACAAGTAGAAAAGCAGACACCAAAATAGTTAAGTTTTAACAGTAAACAAGGGGAAAAAGTTAAGACACAATCCCAAGAGACAGAGACATGCATGGGAATAAGAGAATTCAAAGCTAATAGGTTCCTGGCGCCACAGGCTGTACCTAAGAAATTACTACATTAAAAAAGATGCCTTCATAATTACAGGCCATGAAAATGATGGAAAAAGTTGTGCAACGTGTCAGAATATTCTCTGCTGGGAACCAACAGGGAACTCCTCTTCCCAAGAAGTATACACCCTAGTATGGGGCTGGCGACAATTGGAGCTCTGATGAGAAGCTTAGCAAGGAGCTAATAGGTTCACCAGGGACATCAGCCTAAAATGTACTAATGAAAGATGATGTAATGCTGGAAACTACCATGCCTGTCACAAGGCAGCCATGAAAGCAGTGACTGGGAGGGCAGGCTGAAGGGGGAGCACTGAATGGGAAGCTGCACACTGGCTGAGAGGGGAGGGGACACAGGTGCCCTGGATTCTAGAACAGGGTAGTTTTTAACACACAGCTGGGAAAAAAGTCCGGTCCTGTCAAAGCCCATATGAAAACAGCACAAGACCAGCCACACATACTCTCTGCTTTCAATCTCTGTTCACCAGATGGAATAAAAAGGGTCTCAGATGATCAACCTGAGTATCTAATTCAGAACAAAAGACACTGTGCACCTGCCAGAACCATACGGATGAAGGAAACTCAGCCTTCCACTTCCTGAGGAGGAACAGAATTTTGAACCTATAACTACACTGACAACATCAACACTGCATGAGCTAGTCTAAAATAGGCTTCTCTCTAAGCACTTCTCTCTAAGCACTCACCCAAGAACTATTTCTACCAGTCTGTATTACTCCAGTACTACTTCAGGCCTGCTATCCCCCTGTACCCCAACATTCACATGCTATCCTCCGCACTAGTTATACTGGGCCATATTTCAAAGACAAAGATCTTTGTCAAATCAACAATCTACAAATAACATTCAGGGCCCAAACAGTATGCAGTAGCTAAACCTGATTTTATAATACGTTACTCCCAACTCCCACTGCTAACTGAATCCATCACCTCTGCCTCTCAGTAAACATCACAAAGTTCAATTTGATCGGCTTCTCTGAAAATCAAAATATTTGCACAGGAAATCCTATTTCCTTCAAATCTCATTTTCCTCAGGCCTCACACTGGGAGCTGGTGTGTTTTTTTTGGGTTTTTTTTTTTTTTTTTTTTCCGTCTCTTCAATGAAATAAACCACAACAGTCTTTTTTTTTCTTCTTACTAGTAAGGTCCAAAGCACTGATTTCATTAAAACTTGGGTTGGATCATTTTACCACACCAGGCACAGCCTTTTCCCCATTCCTAACTGGGCACGTCAACCATAATTACAGATCAAGATAGGTGATCACTTTTTCAGCCATAGCTCTGAGATGTGCACTAACCATAAACTAACTCTCGTGAGATAAATTCACCCAGTAACTACCTAAGGGCTACCCAGGCTATGCAGCTTTACAGGTTCACAGTGCCTCCAAGGCACTCACCTGTTCTTACCCTTTCACCCTACATGCTTGTTCCTGCGCTTCCCCCAGACAGTTCCACATCCTTCCCACTGACAACTTATGCCCTGATGAGACACCACTGGACAAACTCTGAGAGGTCATTCTGGAAACGCTGTGTCAAGGGCATGATTGGAAAAAGTCTACAAGGAACACAAAACCTTCCAGTCCTAGGCCAAGAAAAGGATTCTTCCCATTCCCCTCAAAGAAAGCTCTCCCTATGGAATGCAGAGTATCGCACAATTCCTAACTGAGAATGGACAGGAGCCACGCGTGAATCCTACTTGGATGGGGGACAGATTCTAAGTCTTATACCAGGAAACACACTGCTTGGTAATTTACCCTTGCATGGTGAATTTATCCACGCCTCTAAGCCCCAACTAAGCTAATTCCCAAGATATGGTCAAATCATTTCCCTCTGTGCCTTAGTATCCCATCTGTAAAGTGGGGGTACAAACACCTTTCTCACCAGATGGAAAACTGGATACATAAAACTAAGTCAGACAGTGTCTACTCCCCAGGAACCTGGTCTGGGGACGCAGCCATGTAAGCAAGCACTGAAGAGGGTCCCCTGACCCAGGCTGAGGGGAGCAGCATCAATCAGGGCAGACTTCCTGGAAGAAGCGCTGCCTAAATTCTGAGGTCCAAAGAAAGACGAAGGACTAGAGAACGCGGGGCAGGGAGGAGAAAGCAAAAGCTCGCAGAGGGAATGGACCAAGGTGCCTTGGCGGAGTCACAGCCATTCCGCGCCTTGAAGGGGCTGTGCTGGATTCTACAGGCATAAAAGTCCGCTGACCCAAAAGGCGGGCTGGCTGACCGCGGAAGGGTGCACCAGAAGAGACCGGCTTCTCCTCCCTGGAAGATGAGACTACGCCCCACCTATTAAGTTCTTTGGCAACCCTGCATTTCCCGACTGGAGCCTTCAACTCGCCTGCAATCACCCTACCCAGGGTTTGCTTCCTGGTTTCCTGGGACGTGGAAAACCAGGATGGGGGAGACCACAGGAGCAGTGGGCACTGGCGCTGGCAGTTATTAGCCGCGTAAAAAAATAAAATAAAATAAGAAAGCAACTTTCGTTTTCGGCTGTTCATGGGAGCTCCGAGAAGTTGGTGTCCTGAGCTTAGGTGCCGGCGATGGCGATGGGGGGGGGGGGGGGGGGACCAGACACACAAAGTCTGGGCGACCCAGCGTGGCGATCGGGCGAAGGGGAAAAGCAAGGAGGTCCCCGGGTTCCTAGCGCGAGCAGTGGTGCTGGTGGTGGCTGGCTTCCCGAAGCTCCGTTTGGACAGCCTTACTGTAGGCACCAGCCAGACCCCGAAGAGCGCGCTAACCCACCGTTGTCTCTACACTCAGAATTGTTCTCGCGTAGGGCAGCCTCCGGGCGGCCCACCAGCCCTTCCAGGGCTTCCAAACACACAGGCCTCCGGGACTACCGCCACCCTCGCCCCGCGCCGTTTTTCAGGCCGCCTCCCGAGGCCTAGCCGCCTTCCTCAGCCTCGGCCCCCTGCGGGCCGCCCCACCCCGAAACTCACGCTTGCGGGCCTCCGACACCTTCTCCGCCGCCCGCTTCTCGGCCTGCAGCAGCTGCTGGATCCCCTGCGACTGGCTGGCCATGGCGACCGGCACTCTGGAAGCCCAGAGCAGCGGCCTAAACCGACTCGAAGGCTCCTCTGGTCACCTGACCCACCCACCGGGCAAACTGCGCCTGCGCCTCCGGCCGGCGCCCCGCCCCTACGTCACGTGACCCGCGCAGCGTCGCGTCGGCTGACAACCCAAGGGGCCCAAGACTTGGGCAGGATGGGCGGGTCGGAGGAGGGATGAGGGGGAGTGGCCGAGTGCGCCTGCGCGGGGGCTGTGGCCGGCCTCTCTTCTTCTCTCCCGGCGCCGGCCGCTTTGCTTGCTGCGTTGTTGTAGCCACGGTGCCACGTCGTAGTTGCCGCAGAGACTCTTACTTTACAGCCAGTGCACATTAAGGTGCCGCGAGAAGGGGCCAACCTAAATCCCGTTCTCCTATCCCGCACACGACTTTTACTCTCTCCTGTTCGGGCACTCATATTAGGGAACAGTTTAGAAAAAAATTATTATTTTAAGTTTTCATTTATTTGAAAGTCACAGAGTTAGAGAGGTCTTCCAGCCGCTGGGTCACTCCCCAAATGCCCACCATAACTGGAACTGTGGCTAGGGCTGGGCCCCAGCTGAAGCCAGGAGCCTGGATTCTCAATCCGTCTGACACACGCATGACAGGGACTCAAATACCTGAACCATCGCCTGCTGCCGCCCAAGGTGTGCATTAACAGGAGGCGGGAGTCGGAGCTGGGACTGGAATCCAGCCATGCGCATGTGGGATGCTGGAGTCCCATGGGTATCTTAACTCCTGTGCCAGATACCAGTCCATTTTCAGCAGGTTCTTTGTTTTTAGGTTTAGAAAAATTCTTGCCAGTTCTAGAGGTGGAGTCCTGGGTTGCCAGCAGGGAAAATTGGGATCAATTCTGTTAAAAAAAAATCCGAGTGATTTTGAACAGGTCCATGTCCATTTCTGAATGTGGGTTCAGGAAAAGCTTGTACTATTTTCCATACACATCTGTGGAACACCTGCTCTGACCCCGTATGTCCTTCGATACTTGACACAGCAGAGAGCAAGATAAACAAGGTCTCTGGTGAGTCTCACAGTTTATGGATCCAAAAGAGGTGAACTAAAATAGATAATCACAAACCGTGGTCAACGCAGCCAAGGAGAAGGATCCAGGGGCCGGCTTCAGATGCAGACTCATGCTGATGTACCTGGGAAGGCAACAGAAGATGAGCCTAGTGCTCGGGTCCCTGCACCCAGATGGAGCTCCTGGTTCCTGCTTTTGGCCTGGCCTAGGCTTGGATGTTGCCACCATGTGGGAATAAACCAGTGGAGGAAAGATCTCTCTCTTTTTCTCTGGTGTGTGTGTGTGTGTGTGGTGTGTGTGTCTGCCTGTCTCTCTGTTGTTTAAATAAAACTTAAAAAAAAAAAATAAGAAGGACCCACTTAATAGCAGGAGGCAAATATGGAGGCTTCTGGGAAGGTTTTTTTGTTTTGTTTTGTTTTGTTTTTGACAGGCAGAGTTAGTGAGAGAAAGACAGAGAGAAAGGCCTTCCTTTTCCGTTGGTTCACCCCACAAATGGTCACTTGGCCGGCGCGCTACACTGATCCGAAGCCAGGAGCCAAGTGCCCCCTCCTGGTCTCCCATGGGGTGCAGGGCCCAAGGACCTGGACAATCCTCCACTGCACTCCCTGGCCACAGCAGAGAGCTGGACTGGAAGAGGAGCAACCAGGACAGAATCCGGCACCCCAACCAGGACTAGAAACCGGAGTGCTGGTGCCGCAGGGAGGATTAGCCAAGTGAGCCGCAGCACCGGCCAAGGTGTCTGGGAGGGTTTCTGTGAGACATGGCATTTCAAATGACCTCTGAAGAGTGAGAGAGTACCCAGAAAATGAGAGTGGAGGGTGGCAGGGTGAGAGATGGTTTGGGGAGAAGGAACATTGTGTGTGGAGGTAGGGACAGCAGTTGCTACAGACACCCTGATAGTAGAGACTCTATTATAGAGCACCCAAGACTCCATCTTGAGAAAGCACCCCTCCTGTGAGACTATGGTCTGAAACTAAAACGTCAGTACATTGCATCCCACTTCACTAAACATAGAAATCCCCTAGAATGATCGTTCAAGCTTAAAACAGATAGGCTGCACCTGGATTGATGTTAAGATTGTAATTTGTCTGTGTCCATATATATATATATATATATATATATTTAATGGGGGCCGGTGCTGTGGTGCAGTGGGTAAAGCCATCACAAGCAATGCCAGCATCCCAATAGGTGCCATTTCAAATCCGGTCACTCCACTTCCAGTCGAGCTCTCAGCTGTGGCCTGGGAAGACAGAGTAGGATGGCCCAAGTCCTTGGACCCCTGCGCCTGCATGGGAGACCTGGAGGAAGTGCCTGGCTCCTGGCTTCAGATCAGCTCATCTCCGGCCATTGTGGCCATCTGGGGAGTGAACCAGCGGATGGAAGACCTCTCTCTCTGCCTCTGCCTCTTTGTAGCTCTGCCTTTCAAATAAATCTTTAAAAAAAAAAAAAGACCGAAATTAGTATTGTCAAGATTGTAATTGATATTAGTTTTGCATATGCTTTAGGTCAGCTTGACCCTAGCAACCATGTATTCTCCCTTGTGGTTTTTACCTTTTTAAACCCCGTTGCCTTGAGCTTCAGGGTTGAGAGTTCTTTAGGGCACGAGCCTGCTCTCCACCACCGGCAATCAAGTACTCCCAAGTTTATCAGTGTGTGGCACTCCTCTGTCAGCTCTCGCTCAGGCACAGCACCACCACCACAAACAGGGAGCTGGGAAGGCAGTGGCTGAGTTTGCCAATGCGACAAACAGTCTTGCAAACACTTGGCTTACTCCTCAGCAACTTCAGAGTACTGTTATTAATTCAATTGTATAGCAACCAAACGGAAGATCAGCAGGTTCAGTAATTCGCGGTCACACCACTGCCTGTCACACAATGTGCTTGGACCCAGCCAGGGCTGCAGGGGGAACCTCCCTCATCGTGCTCTTGTGTGAGATCTCGTGGGCTGTGGAAAGAAGCAGATGACTTCTTAGAGACCACCAGGCACAGAGGAGGGAAAATGATGCCAGAATTGTTCTTGATAAGATCTCTGTACCCAAGGAGAAGCTGTATTTATGGTTATTTCACTGAGGTTGGGGGTGGGCTTGGAAAGATGACGTAACCGCAGAATACCTATCGCTTCCCGGCATGAGAACTGGATCTTGATTGCTCTCTGCGAATTTTAAATCCCATTTCAATGATTTCTTGGAAAGATTTATAAATATCTGTGTTCTCAGAAAAAGTGATTCGCCATCCTCAGAGGACAGTCGTGCATAGTTCTGGGGGTGGAGTGAAGACTCAGAGAGTTGATGGTAGCCAACAGTGGAGTGGATACATGAAATGTGGTATATGCACACAATAGAACTGCAGTTGGTCAACAACATAAATAAAGGACTGGTACAAGCTACAGCAGGGACAAGCCTTGGTGCCACTAGACAAAGCAAAAGACACCAGACACAAAAGGCCACCTGTCATACAGTGCTGTGACCTGAAACACCCAGAATAGGCAAATCTCTAGAGACAGACAGAGGCTGGGGGAGAGGAAATGGGGAGTGACTGCCAATTGGCATGGGATTTCTTCTTAGGGTGATGAAAATGATCTGGAATTAGATAGTAGTGATGGTGGCACACCCTTGGGAACATACAAAAAACACTTAATGGTAAGCTTTAGAAGGGTGAGTAACTGCTCTATGGATTATATCCTCCAATAAAGCTGTTATTTTTTAAAAAGAGGAAGAGAGGATGATATGATGATGATGACGATGACCACGCTGATGATTGAATGTGAGGGTCTCCCACAGTTTCTAGTTCCTAAGATTCTAAGTACATACAAATCCCAGAATTCTGTTGCCGCTGTAAGCATTTCCAAAGTTTATTGGGTAAAGAGAGAAACACTGGACAGTCCCTCCTCTGAGACTGCCCAGACTGGTTCAGATTTTCTGATGATCTGAGTGGGTGTTTGTTGTCAGAATGGGGGTACCCCGGGAAGGTGTCCTGCAAGAACTAGGAAATGAGATTGCAGCAATTGTCCTCTAAAGGAGCCGAGAAGTCTTGAGCAAGCAGGCAAGAGCAAACAGTGACAAGGTTATCTGAAGGGCACAGGGGGGTGTGAGGCTGGTTCCTCTCACCAAGGAATGCAGTAGCAGATCAGAGCAAAGAATGTGGCCACTATTGGGTGTGGTTGTTCAGACACAAACTGCAAACAAGGAGAAGGCACAGGGCTGCTCTTCGTTGGCTCTAGCCTAGCAGTGACTAAGGCAGGCGGGGGTCTCTCACGGCCTCAGCTAAGAGAGCACTTGGCCTGGGTTCAAATCCTAGCCCCTACATTCAGTTCCTGGGTGACCTTGAGCAAATGACTTAACCTCTCTGGAGTTTCAGGCTTTTCATTTGTTAAACATGGCATTAGAGCAGGTGTTTGGCACAGCAATTAAAATGCCACTTGGGGCACTTGCATCTCATGTACAAGTGCCTGGGTTCAAGTATCAGCTCTGCTCTTGATTCCAGCTTCCTGCTGGTGTGCACCCTGGGAGGCAACCGATTTGAACCCTTGTCACCCATGTGGGAGTCCCAGATTGGGCTCCTGGCCCCTGACTACCCTGCAGGCATTTGAGAAAGGAGTGGTTAGAAGTTCTCACTCTGTCTCTCCAGCTTTCAAATAAAATAAAATAAATAAATAATTTTAAATGGGATTAATAACAGTATAATATGGTCAATAGGAATATTAAATCTGGGGCCAGCACTGTGGCGTAGGGGGTAAAGCCACCGCCTACAGTGCCGGCATCCCATATGGGAACTGGTTCAAGTCCCAGCTGCTCCACTTCCAATCCAGCTCTCCGCTATGGCCTGGGGAAGCAGTGGAGGATGGTCCAAGTTCTTGGGCCCCTGCACCTGCGTGGGAGACCCAGAAGAAGCTCCTGGCTCCTGGCTTCAGATCAGCACAGCTCTGGTCATTGCGGCCAACTGGGGAGTGAGCCAGAGGGTTGGAAGACCTCTCTCTCTCTGCCTCTCCTTCTCTCTCTATGTAACTCTGACTTTCAAGTAAATAAGTACATCTTTAAAAAAAAAAGGA